ATTGTTTAAAAGCTTCAACCCCTAAAACCACAAGGTACCTATGGAATTGACGTCACGGACTGTCTAGACTGCAGACGTAATAAGGAAGACTAGGAACAATGTACTTTAGGCTATATAAAACGTATAAATATATGTACTACGCTTATTTAATTTAGTCTGCGTTTTAAGTTTTAGAAATAGTTCTGATATTTGAATTATTGTTAGAGAACAACATTTAAGTTTTACTTTTAAACAACAGATAGATACTATCTATATTTTGTTTAAAAAAAAAACTAAAAAAAAACATCTTTCAACTTGAAACTAAAGGTGATAACTATATTTTAACGGGTTCTATTTATTAGGTTATATAATAATATATTACTTTAACAACACCTACAATAGCAATTTATTATATTATATTGTTAGATTAGTCATTTTTTATAAAATTTTGATAGTTAAGTATATTTAAACCAATGATACACCGTTTTTTTATTATATAGTTATTGTGTCTTAAACCTTTAGTGTACACTAAAGTTTTAAGAATGCTTAGTTATAGTCGAGACACAAAAACTAAAACCCAGTTGCTAACTAACTTGAATTTGAGCGCCACACATGATGAACCCTTCTTTTTATGCAATACCTCCTTGATATGTTGGTTAAAACAAAGCGGTATCTAGAGATTTAGATTAATCAAAGTTTTAACGATGAATTTGCCACTCAATTGCGTATTCAGGGCTAATTTTAAATAAATTATATTCCTACATGGGCAAAGAGTGGGGGCTCGGTGTCAGGTAAGATTTCATGGCTCAAGGGAGACTCAAAGCCGGGAGCAATAACCTTTCACCCCTAGTTTTCTGAAAGCTCATAAACATGAATGTGCACAGGGCTCCCTAAAATTACCTTTCATGTTTTGCTCCTTACTGAGAACTCACTAAAGTGGTAACCTAACGCATAACTTGAAATTTGTTTACTAATTTTTAATAAAAATCATCTTAGCTGTCTTATTATATATTATATAAATAGTAGTTTAAGTTCAACATCAAACAAACCTATTCGAGTTCCGTACCTAAAAGATAAAGTGTGATCTCGTCACTTTGGTTAAGACGTGTGGCGTTCGTCCCTTTATCACGATGATTTCGCGGAGTTACGTTACGGAGTAAATCTCGTACTTACTCCCAAATTAACATTTTCGTTAAATATATATTATAAGTATGGCCGTTATAGTGACAAGTGACTAATAAAAATGACTAATAAACTTAGTTCGCAGCATCATAATAACTGGTTATATAGTAATGGCAAATGGTGTCATTTTCTCACAAGAGAATCTTCGTTAGGCCTCGTTAAAAATAGTTATTTATTTCTTAAGACACAGTATTTCCTGGTTATCATAAATAAGTATTTCGTTTTTACTGTGACAATGAATGATAGTAAACACAAGCGCCAGTGTTTGTTTAATTGTGGTGCATATCTGGTGTAAAAAAAAAATGTTTTAACAATCTAGACAGCACACAGTACAGTACAAATTATTGTCGTTGTTGACAGTTAATTTGTCAGCAAGAATTGAAAAATTTATTCTAAAGTTATAATCAAATGTGATTGCATTCTGTACTTTTCTTATGCTTCTTAGCTTCCGTTCGAACGGAAGTTACAGAGACACAGAACTTACACAGCTAAGGAATCTTACTGCAGAACATGAGTTTGATTCGCAGTGCACTTATGTGCATTTAGTGACGTCGTGGAATTATGATGTGAAATGACGTCTGCAAATTACTGTTATAAGTAACATTTAATACGGCACTAAAGTGTTTACATTTAAAGAAGTCTGTGAATCATTCTGCAGTACCTAATATATCTGCAAAATTTTATAGAGTAAAAACGATATTTGAACTGTAATTCAGTGACCCAATCTAATATTTTAAGGTAAAACATTTTTCTATTCTGTAATGTGAAAGACACAAAGAATAAATGAAAATGAATTGAAATGAAAATCGGTTACTTGTTCAGGCAAGCATTTAATTTTAAATTACTTGGTTTTTGTTTGAACGTTTTTTAAGTTCTAGTGAAAGTTCTTGTCATACTATATAAAACATAAACAATGGCATAGACTAATAAACTGAAAACCCTTTAGAATCTATCACCCGGTCCACTAAGTTAATTAATTTATTAATAATTAAACCAGGATTACTCTCTAATTTAAAAAAAAAATGTTGTAACTTTTTTTATATGCTAATAGTTATTTAAGAGTTCATAAGTAAAATGACTGGGGACCAGCTACGATTAGACGAAATTTGTGCTAGTTTGCCACCTTACAGTATAGAAATAAATATCAGACTAGCTCTGAACAAAACCTGTATACTGTTTCAGTCCGAATTTATATTTATCGAGTCGAACATTGTTATCGGTTCCCATAAAGATGGAAGAGAGTTTTCTTTTCTCGGCGCAGATCGTGAAATATATTGAGAGTTATATTGTGGCCGCGTGAGCGGTACGACGCTCGTCAGCTCCACGATAAATATGAAATTATTTATGAAACGTGCTCCAACACGTAAAGCATCTGATATCCTACCTGTCCATTTGTATACACAAATTGCTGAATTGTAAGCGGAATAGTACGAATTAAAATTATTTTTACAATTTGCCTGTGTTTCCATTTATAAGTGAAATTTTGTTCATATATTTACTACTTAATTGCCTAGGGATAATAACAAACCGCAATGTCGCGTCATTGGCAACTTGTTCAATTCCGGTGATTATGTTGAGATAGGGAATTTCCTCTGTAAAGAAGGAATCCTCCTTTTTCTCGGTATAGGTGTATTCTCATGGAATATAACTTTTAAATATAAATAAACATATAACTTAACGTACGTAACGTAAAACTGTAATAGATAAATGTAAGCTTTTAGTTAAATTGCCACGTAACAAGAGACAAAGTGTGATCTATAGGAAAGAGCAACATATGTATAACTCTAAATATATACCACCAAACACAAACCTTTTATAATAACATCCTAAAAATTTCAATTTTCTGTAACACAGCGGGCACATGCTTGCACACACATGTTTTTGATATCATCGACAACAAAATTCCTTTAGAATGCCTGCGTCAATCAGTTTCAGTGGGGTTGATATAAAAAAATATAGCTATTGAATACAAACATAAAAATTTAAAAGAAACTAATTTCTAATACTTTGCGTCTATAATACATTTAGGTGGTTTGAATATTATTTTATTTATGAGACAGGGCATTACAATATTGATCCTGTAAAGGTCACGCGGACAAAGAGAACAGTATTCAATACCTAGAAACGTACAGATATTGTTCACTACGATTTTCCTGTCATGCCCTTCTTTTGAGATCCTCGTTTTAGCTTCAGGCTCTTAGTCGCTCCGGCCTTGAATATTTATAAGGTTAAGTCCCATTTTGGGCGGATTTATCCAGTTTTGTCAAGGTTTAATAGGAATTCGTTAGGAGAAATGTAATTAAAATTGACTCCGACTGTGATTGTAGTGAATATTAAATCAATTACTCTTAATTTATGGAGTAATGGATTTGTTGATGCTATTTTAGTATTACGATTATACTACAATATAAAATCAAAAGTTTGTTTGATTTTGTTTAATAAGCCGCCTATATATAAAACGCAATTTATGATCAGCTTTTATAGTATACATTTTTACTTTATGCCTTTCTAAACCATTGCCTATGTTACACGTGAGTCATGTTTATACATATATTGTTATATAATACGTTTGACCTACATAAACCACAATTGAAGTGCCAAATATCGATTTTTCCATTATAACGCCTTCAAAGTAGACGAATTTTTTAAACCGAACACTGTATGGGAGTAGATAATAGAATATTCTTTATGCACTAAAATATGATACAAGCGAGGCAGGTCGACGAGGTCATATAACAATTAAAGTACTTCTTAAGTATTGCTTGCAATCTATAAATAGTCTATTCTTTATAGTTATAGGTTGTTCGTTGTGTAATTTCCACTCTTTAATAAGATTTAAATCTATTTCAGTAAACTAAAATTTAATATCCATATTTCATTCAATAAAACAGATTAAATCAGATTAGATTAGATTTCAGATCAGAATTAGATTTTGTTCGTCTTAGAGCTTAACGACATATTTCTAAATCCCATTTAGATGTCCGAATGAAAATAAAACCCTTGTAGGATCACTCGTGCCTCTCTAGTCCTCTTTATCAATTTACCCCGACTCTACCGGGCCGATTAAGTTAAAATTTGGTAAATATACATATATCGTTCTTGTGATCCAGACATAGATGTGCAATAGAATTTTGGATTATTGGGACCTACTAAGAAGTCTTTAAATAACACGGTCACTCTCAAATATTGTGATTACAAACTATAGAACGTCTGTTTTCTTCAGCTGTACTGTGAAAAATAGGTAGTATTAATCTACAATAAACCATGTTACCATCCGTCACTATCACTCACCATATGTCACTTTCAGTGTATTCAATTATTATATAGTTCCACGGAACCGTTTCCGCACGCGTTTAACTCGCACGAGTCCAGTATTTTATTAATTAGAACACATTAGTAGACAAAGCAATCTGTAGGTAAACTTGTAGTATAAATTTTCACTCTAAAGGAATGTGTTTATTTTTTATCACTGACCTTCTTCTGTTTAGTCTGCTATTGACATTAGACAGTTTTGTAATACGATGGAATGAGATGTTTTAAAAATGTCCACGTAAATTGTGAAAATGTTTAAGTTTGTAGAAGTTCATTACTTAAAACTCATTTATTATTCATTCTAATAAACCATGCCGACTGAAAACGTTATAATAAAAAAGAACCTATGTCACAATAGAATGATTTTGTAAAAGTAATAAGCAATGTTTACACTGCTTAATAGAAATGAGAAACATTTGTACTTTATTTTCGCAAGATACGAGCTCAATTCCACTTTATTACAAATGCGAAAGTGAAGTTGTTTGTTCTGCTTTCACACATCTTTTCTAATATACCACATTTATAAAATGTTTGTAAGTACTACTGGGTATTCCCATTGTTAAACGACGGTTTTAGCAAACGACCCTAAATTTTACTGACTACGAGAAAGCATGATTTTTTATTTTACTGATTCTTATTCCCTACCAATGTAACTATACTAAAATGTATTTTGGGCTAAACTAAAACTAGAAATAATAACAAGAACAAGGGTTTTATAAATTACCAAATGTGTTTTTTTGTTACAGGGTGGTTATCCAGCTAAATTGAAGAAGGTGCTTATAGTGACCGCGCCACTGTGGTTTAAAGCGCCTTTCCGTATATTGCGGTTATTCGTGCGCGAAAAACTTCGGGAACGCGTGCACACAGTAAATGCGCCTCAGCTGGGTCTGCACGTGCCTCGAGCTAGCCTACCCAAACAATTAGGAGGGCAGCACGAACCTGATCACGCAACTTGGTAAGTCTTATTTAGTAACTAAGTACTACTTAGATGAGGGAAGAGACAAAGAGTTCTCTCTGACTCAAAGTGCCCGGGCACAACTGATGTACCTAATTGTAATGGGTAGAAGACAACTAATGAGAAAATTTTCTTTATTACTTGTGTAACAGGTATTGTATTCTGTCCAGTACCTACTCTAGTTGTTTGTAAGAGATCGTTAGGAGCGTAGAATGAGATAAGACTGTCCGTTGTGGCTATATAGTACCGATTCATTGAATTTTACCGATTTTAGTATGTATTGATTATTGTTTAATATAAAATTCTCGATAGTGTACAGCATAATCTATGAGTTGGCACCCATTGAGTTATGATTTATATCATTGTAACTTTATTAATATTGTGATTTACTCAATTATGAATAAGGTTCTACACAGCCGTGGTTAGTATACTTAGCTTCGAGCTTCTTTTTAATGGCTTAATGCCCTCTGGCTTCAAGGAGATTTGAGATTGTTCGGTATTGTTTCGACTGTTTTGAGCGCTGTTCCTTAACGAGAAAAAATAAACTCCGGAACCTACAATTTCTCGTCCGGCCTATAGACAAAGGCTTCAAACGAAATAATGTCGATGTTGTTTAATAAAGTTTTATTCTTTTTAAAACTTGTGTTCACTCGGTTCCAGATCTTAGATTGGCATCAAAGAGATTGTTAACAATAAAAATCATTTAACAAATTTATTTTATGTATAATCGAAGCGTATAAATACAAAATTATTTTAAAACATAATATTATTATTAGCGTTTTGTAACTATTTTAGTACTTCCGGATGAATAATATGAATGTTAAATAGAAATTTTGAACGACAAAAGTAATGTTAATTGGATACGCCTTACGAAATCACTCAAATTAGGCTTATTAATCCATTACAAATTGAAAAACGTAATGCTATAAGCGGTCTTCGAAAGAAATTATAAGTAAAACCTAATGGCAAAGGTTTGGCAAACAACTTTTAATCGGATATAATATGATATAAAAGAATAAAAATATTTTGCCCAGTATTATTCTAAGATGTTTTCTACCAAAGGTCAAATCATTATATTAGGTCTTTACCTATGAAATTGCCGTATTGTATGCTATAAGTGAAAGTACTTATTTTTTCAAACTTTTTTATTTCTGTTATTCGAAGTAATCACCCATGCAATCCACGCATCTTTGCCAACGCATTGGCAGTTTATTGATGCCCTTCTTGTAAAAATCAGCTGGACGGGAGGTAACAAACTCTTCAAAGGCATTTTGTACTGCCTCTCTGAATTTTTTACCCAAAAAATTGTCTAAATTTTGGAAAAAGTAATAGTCGGTAGGTGCAAGGTCATGCCGTTATTGCGGCGGTAAGACCCGTTATGGAGGATTGGCTCGAGCGGCGCCACGGAACCCTCTCATACTGGCTGACTCAGGTGCTCAGGGGGTAAGGTTGTTTCGGAGATCACCTGTGTCTGATCCGCAAGGAGCCAACGCCTGAGTGCCACCACTGCGGTGGCCGGGCCGTGGGTACGGCCCTCCACACGTTGGCAGAATGCCCGGCGTAGGTGGAGTAGAGGCGTGACCTCGTGGTGGTCATCAGAGTGAGTGTCCTCTCGCTCGGTAGTATAATTGCCGCTAAGGTACAGAGCGAGAGTGCGTGGAACTCCGCCGTCTTTTTGGCGGAGCGGGACCGGGAGATGTTTATAACTCTCCCGCCAGGCCCGGTAACGGACCAGGTACCGCAGACGACTCGGGCGCCGGAGGTCGTAGAACGACCTCCGTCCTTCATAAGCGTAGGGGTGACAGGTGAGGCCATCTGTCACCCTAGCAGAAGCAGGCCGGGGTGGCAGCGAGACGCGCTGCGGAGCGCGCGCGCCCTTTCGGGAGCACAAAGGGAACATGGGGGTTCCCACACAGGAGGGGGTCATCTACACGTCGTAGATGGTCCGAGGTACATCGGGGTACCAGGGATTTCCTTTCTAGGGTACCCCTGGTTCCCTGGCTACGGGGTACTTGTATCCGAGACGGCGTGCGGTTTTTGGTCGGTTCGAGTCCAACATAATCACCCCACCGGTGGGTGATATCCGAGGGGATTTTCACAATAGCACATGCAAAAAAAGGGCTGTGCAAAGGACAGCATAATAACAACGTTTGTGTAATTAGAAGTATGTAATTTAAGTTATGCACCCACACGAGCGTGCTATATGCCGATATGTTCTTACATTAAATGATTACCTCCGACAAATCCTGTGAGTATATTTGCAAATATTCTTCGCTCCAGCAATATGAAACTAACCGGTTTATTGTTAAATTAAAACTTATTTTAAATGTAAATTAAAAATTAGTATTGCCGCGCGCATGTAGAATATATGCATGAAATACTGCTTCGATCTGTTCAGCACTCCGAACTTCTTTTAGGCCATTTTGACCTTCCCCTTTAAGTGACCCCGAAACTGGACTTCGCTCGATATGTCGACGCCCAGGATTCCGATAGTGGCTGAGGCAGTTAGGGAGATGCAATTATGATTTATTTTAGTAAGCGTAAATTTATTAAGCTGTGGTAGTTAGAATATGTGAGCGGTAGAAAATATCGGTCTTGTTTATATGTTCCTTAATTTCATCCACGAAACAAGTACCTACATGCAATGCACTGATCTTAATTAAAGGAGCTTATTACTTTAATTTTTTATACTATGATTAAAGCAATATCGCAATAGCAATATAATAGGAGAATTAAATGTAATAAATAATTCCAGTCAGAAGTGTACAATTAGTCACCACTTACCAGTTAAGTACCAGTCTAACTTGGAACTTCGATATCGCCATTGGTCATTGGACCATTGGTTGTGGAGGTCAGATGGCAGTCGCTTCACGGAAAATATCGAAGTTCAGCCGCATCACAGTTAGACTGGAAAGCCGACCCCAACTGAGTTGGGAAAAGGTTCAGAGAATGAGAAGTGTACAATTAGTAGAAATCGTTTGAAGTACAATATGAAATTGATGTTTTAGTTCTTTAGTGTTTTCGATGTTTATGAGACTTTTCTCTTGTCTACAGGTTGGAACACTGCAAAAACTGTTATATTAATAATCTCCAGAACGCTAAATTAGAAGGCGTCATTGATGAATATGTAATCAGTAATCATATACCACCGATCAAAACTCAAAATGGTAAGTATTGATCATATACATGATACCAAAATAGGGATTAATATTATTTTTTTAATTTATTAAACACTTAAGCAACATAGGTACAACATAACATTTTTGTTCTTTTGGTACTGTAGAACCACTAAGGTTTATAGTTCACAATTTAATGTTCATTATTTGCAAGGTTGCTCACGACTTCGCAACGTGAGATTTTGTCCAACAATTCAAGTGTCCCTCGGCAAAAGTAGTTATTACAACGACAACGTGTATATACATGATCATCAGTTCAGATATAAAACCATAACAGACAAACAGTCTATATATCGAGAGAGAATATCTGTGTGACGATCTGCATTGACATCGAAACAAAATTGTATGTAGCTAACTAGCTACCTACGTAGCCTAGTCAACAGTAAGACGAGATAAAGTCAGTCAAATAAGTGGCATGATCTAAAAAACCGAATAAATAAAAACTTAAATAATTATCAATTATAAAAATTAACATAGAAACATATCATTTGATTATATTTATCCATTATGTACTTTTTATTTATTTATTTATATCTTTATTGTTTAAAGTTAACACATAAGACATTTTTGTTACTGCAAATTATGAATAATGAAATAGTTTTTCGAATTTGTAGTTTTAAGGGTTAATCCTACCATAAACCTACATTTTTTAAGACGCTTTTTTATTATGTTATTATCATTAACTTCTAATTCAGGTATAATTGAGCACGAAGGTGCATGTGACATGACCAGTGATCGTGCGGCGCGAATCGGCGACAACAATTCAGACATGCACATAAGTGGCGATCCTCCGTATACCTGCGACCCCAGTCCGCTTAGGTTTGATCTCTATACACATATTAATAAGACCTATGCGTAGAATAAAGTTACATATGATCATGTTACCAAAACACTTGTTTTTACGTTTAGGCCTTAATTTACCTACATTTACACGTAGTAATTATTTCTACTCGTAAGACAAGTACTTTATTTAAGATTAATAGTAAACAATTTGGTGGACGGCTTGACTACTATTTCTTATTATTGAGATTTTTTACCGTATAGCGCCTACTGGGAAATAAGACATTTCTATTTTGTTAATGATAAACAGCGATTCGTTTTTCAAATAAGTTTTATGAATATGCATAACACTTATTTGAAAAACGCTATAAGGCTTTTATCTATAAACCTCGAAAAAGTAGTGGTAATGGCTAAAGTTTATCAACAATATAGCTTCTATCGTTAAGCTCTGTGGCTATTGACTATACTGATAGTGCTGCCTAAACGAGTCTTCTATTCGTCTTTATTATATCACAATTTACATTATAATAAAAATAATTACAAAAAATATGTTTTCTTCATTAATTGAAGTACTAACTTAAGTCCGGCAATACTTATATTATTTTACAACTTCTATTGTATTTAAAAATAGTTAACAATGTTGTTTTCTAATAGTTAATGAATCATAGCCATGTACACTCTATAAGAGGGAGTATATTTCCTAGACGTACTTGTGTCTAGATATCGTTTGACTCATATATATTTTAACCACAACTGAGAATATAACAGAAACTTATTAACTTATAGTAAGGTTATATTATTGGCTAACAGCTATAATGCATTTTAAGTGTATTACGAAATGTAATCGACAATAGTTTTATTTTTCAGGCATACACATGGTTACAATGGCGATATGAAAAGCAGGCATATAAACTCAGGAGACGAAGATGACATAGACATAAGCAGTGAGTACCTACCTAAACTTTTTAGAAATATAAAAAAAACAAGAAAAAAAATTGGTGTGTCATTTTGACAGATTTTCTATAATGTTATATTTATTGTTTTCATAGCCAAATATTAAGATACAAATCCAATAGTTATAAATAATCGAAATGAATTCGTCTAACAAAAGAAGCGGTATGTCTTTAGAATTTTATAATGTCGGTCATAATTTCATTGAAGCTATATAACATGAGTGACATGTTTAAAACTTGAATGTACCTAATGGGTCAAATGTCGTGCTGTGCTAGACGCAGTCACTGTAAGTTTCATTTAAAAAAACAATGAAAAATCGAAAATATAAACAAAGAAGTATTGTCGCGCGCAAATAGTTTAATTCAAACATTTAAATGTACCTAATAAGTAACTGAAACTTGATTTTCTGTGTCTCTGTAATACATAGCTACTAATGAGTAGCTAGTGTAATGACACTATTACTGATCTCTACCTACAACTACCAACTTGTTTTACCTACAATTTTTTATTGTTGAACTCTAAACAACAACACTTTGATTTAATCAATCAAAAACTATAATTGTGAGCTAAGTTCAAGCACTAAATAAGGAATATATATTAGTACTGGGTACAACATAACTATACACTCTCATAATTCGTTAAATATTCCTACTTTTACCAGATGGACCCCTACATAATTTACAAATATGAGAGTCAACGTGAGTATTTCGGACTCGTATCTCCCCTGGTTAACCCCCATGGGGATGCACGAGTACTTCAAATATAATTAAAAACATAGTGCTAATCTCTCACGTAGCAAAGAGAGACACCAGGACTGGCAAATTCTTAATGTCTCCCCCAAGGGGTTGACCAGGGGACACACTAGTCCGAAGCCAAGCAAGAATTATTTGTAAATAATTATGTATTCTGTATATAATTCTTTCGTGAAAAAATCAGTACAATTATTGTTTACAATTTGTGATTTTAAATATTAGTTTCTCAGTTTCTTATGCTAACTACGCCGATTTTAAACCGAATGATATCGCTTATATCAGACTTTATAGATTGTAAAACAAAGTAAACACAAAGGTAGAGAGAGTACCTACAAATAAGGGATCAGAAAAGTTACAGCTCGAAGTTAAACGAATAGTATTGTCATTTTATATTTTCTTTTATTAACACAACAGTCGCATATCTAATAAATTAAGTTTTTTTTGTCCACTGATAATATAATCCAATTTCGACTATTTTATATAAGTTTAAAAAACATTATGTTTTAATTATGGCCAATAAAACTAGACCTGGACTTCAATTCTGCTCTTTAATGTTAACGTACAAGCCACTGTCATTCCATTGACACGCTATTGCGATGCCATTGACATCGGTCAAAATATCGGTATTCTATTAAAATAAATTGACAGTGTCAATAGACTGTCGATGTAGTGACAACGGCTCATCAATGGTGATATCAACAACATTGCCTTATCTGGCAAATTTAATATTTATTGCCATACAAATTTAAAAAATGTACCGTTTACCAAACTATTACAAAGACATCGACGACATTTCTATTAGTGACAAGTCATCCAATGGAGGACAATGGTCTAACTTAATTAGTAGAATACGAAAAGTGCAAAACTATTCCAACGACATTCCATCGCCAGTCTATTGATACAATATTAAAATAGCAGAATTGAGGCCCTGTGATCATGTAAGTTTTTGTATCATGACAGGTCAACATAATACACTGGATGTGCGTACCTTAATGAAGCCGTTTTCACTAGATTTTTTCATTTGTTACACATTGCCTGATTCCTTTCGCTGCATTTATTCTGCACGTAACAATAACATGCGTACAAATAATTATATTCACGTATTTATCATCATCATCATCATCAACAGCCTTTAATAGTCCACTGCTGGACACAGGCCTCTCCTTAGAAAGGAGGCTTTGGCCTACTATAACACGCTGGCCCGACGAGTTGGTATAGGGTTTATGTCAAGTTTTCCTTCTCTTTGCAGTGTTGTTGTCCTGCGTAGTTTACTCCCTTAGTCGGCTCTTAGGCCACCCACGAATAGGGGTGGTGACACTCCGTATTCTATTTTCCGTATTCCGTATTTATAAATGATATTATTCATGCTCTTACACAAACTCAAGGCTGATCATTAATTTGAAATATTAGTTACAACGAAAAATATGTTGTTCCGTTTTTTACTTGTTCAGTTACTTTAGAGTCTTAATTTCTACTTTTGTTTGAGTTTGATTAAAATTTTACATTTAATTTTTGGGGCCGGCGCTAACTGACGTTGTGCTTCGGCAGCCCAAAGGACGCTTTGCCGTGCCACGACGTCAGTCAGCAGAAAGTCAGGCGACTCAACTCAGCCACCACATCCGTTTTAAACCTTATTTCAATTAGTTTAGCTGTCATAACCCTGTGATCTATGTGGCTTGTGGGACGCAGTGGTCCACCGCTGCAAGTCATGGAATGAAACGGTATGAAACGATATGCTGCGGCTTCCCGCGGCATGCCACGACGCACCGCAGTATAATTATAAAATAAGTAATATAAGTAAACTCATTGAAATAAGGATAAAAAGAACTTGATCTGTAATAAAATCCTTTACCGTGCCGTGCCGTGAGGTAAGGCAGCGCTTGGCATTCAGGAGGATTTCTGCCTACTATGATTGGTTGAGGACTGTCAAATGATATCAAGGGTTTTATTAAACGTCAAAATGATAGTCGCGGTACATTTTTGTATGATATACTGTGGCGTCATACGTAGCTAATTTCTTACTTATTTATATTTAATGTTGATTTGAAGATTAAAAAAAAACATGAAATTGGTTTGAAATTGAGGACAGTTGAGGCTGTACTTTGTACACTTTATTATTCAGGCGAAATAATTTATTTTAAACCTAGGGATCTACCAAAGGAATCTTTAAGAAGGAAAGCATTCGCAACCCTTTGGAAAGCATTCTTCATCTCTTCCTGTTTGATTTCCTATGTTAAATTGTTCGTTCTTAAAATTCTGTACTTTTTTTAATAAAAAAAGATGCATTTACCCAAGTATACAAACTGTACGGTGACACCGAACAATAATATTACCTAATTTTGGAAATAAATAAAAGTTAAAAAAAATACATCTATGATACAACGCTTTCCAAATACATAGTAAATCTATGTATGCCTAGTACTAACAAAAATGAAATGAATTATTTACGATCACTACAATCAGTCAGTTCGCATGAAAACGTTCAAGTGATGGTCGTTAAAAGAAATTGTAATACGAAAGTCTAGTCAACATGGAGTATAAATGTTCACCATTTCTGCATTATATTATGTTCATTTTGTCGTATAGTAAGTTAGATTACATACATTTCTATATTATTGCATTAAACCGACAGGCTATTTTGTTACGGATTCATCAGTGATTTAATACTGGTTGAATTTAAAACAAATCTGTCATTTTACGGAAACATCACACCTTGTTTCACAAGCTGTGAGATTTGTTTCGCAATCGAAAACGCATGTTTATGACTATTGTGTTAAATCAATGAGAAATTAAAACAAATAAATACGTTATGTAAGAAGAAGAAAAAGGAGATAGCGCTATACAAGTGACACATTGAAACTGATAAATTTTGCCTAGTTCAGATTAGCTACAGATGGTGACGTTGCACTATTAAATGTATGATCGAAATCCATTCATTGTCATTGCTAAATCGTTCAGTAATCTACTTTTTACGTTTAATATAGTATAATATGATTGGTGTTTTAAAGGAATGTGAAGGCATAGACAATAGAGATAAAATATAGATAAGATTGTTTAGTTCGAAGCGTGTCAAAATGTGTAGTCTATCGTATATATTTACTTTATATTGCCAATATGTGGGTTTTAACAGGTTTTGCCTTGACAAGCATGAAACAATAAGTATGTATAAAGTTTTATATACAAACTATATCTATACAAATCCATTTAAATAGTTGACAGTATCCAAACGAAACGTTATAACGTCCAACAATAACCTCGCTAGATACAAGTAGTTCACGAGTTATGTTTTACAAGGATACGCAAATTCTTGATTACTACATAATGTAAATATCATAAATAACATTATTTTGTTAAATATTAAATTTAAAAAAATCTAATCTTTTTTTTGTTTATTGAAAACAATTGTAGTTTTATCAGTTCATATTATCGATATCTCATATGACTGATATGTGCAATAATATTGTGTACGTTTATACTCGTAACATTAGCCTAATAATTATTTCACATTAATTTTAGTCATTTAGGGATTCCCTTCCAAATATATTTAGTCCAATACGTGTTATTTTTTACAAATTTTCCCAACGAAACGGCATAAGTTCAAGCGTTCAATAATTTTACACACCACATCACAAAAAATCGACTATACTAAAAAAAAATGATCCTTGTTAAAAAAGCAATTTAACTTACCTAATGTCGCAGGTAGGTATGTTAGGATTGTAGTCGATTTCAACCTTTCAAACAGCTAACACGATTGTCGCGACAGTAATCGCACATCCGTTCATTGTATGTGATGATGGCATTCACAATGTTTGCAAAGAGAGTGCACTGCAAAGTGACTCTAAAACTAACCGCCACTTTTTGTTTTATTTTTTTTATTGTTATCCGTAGTAAGTAGTGCACTCGTGCCAATTGATTGCAAAATAATATTACGGAATAAGTATAAATTTATTTTTTTACTGTGGTAGCTCGCGGCACGTGGTCATCAGGAGAGGTATCGCCAGGACTGTCGGATGAGGAGTGCGGCGGTGGCGGGGCAGGGGGAGGTGAGACGGCAGCAGCACTCCTAGCTCGCGTACGCTCGCTGGGCAGGCGCGGGCTCGTAGCTGAGTATGAGGAGATCCGCGCACGTCCGCCGCACGGGACCTTCCACCATGCCAAGTGAGTGCTAACACATCCAAGACTGTTAAACTATTAGAAAATTTAGTCCTTGAGCTTAGTTTACCGATATTGAAAATATTTCTGTATGGTAGACGTACTTATTTTTTTTTATCTCGATGATGTTTTCAATATTTTAATTTACTACAGACCAGACTAACTGATATTAACTCTTTTTTTTTACGTGTGGTAACCCTCACCGGGGTTTGCAATGGGGCGGTGTGTCAGAATCGAGCCGGTTAAAATGCACACCACACGGTGTATGACTCTGCGCTAAATAGGAAGAATCCGGGAACTGCCGGATCCGGATCCCTCCTAACGCCGGGTCTAGTTCATAATATCGCCAGTGACTTTACTAATCGTCGATATATCGAAAACGTTCCATCGAAAGGTTACGCCGTTAAGGAGAGAGTACGCCAAATCGATAGTACGTTACATTGACAGGACACCATATCGACGGTACGTTGCATCGACACGACACCATATCGATGGCACGCTGCACCGACACGACATTATATCGATGGTACGCTGCACCGACACGACATCATATCGATGGTACGCTGCATCGACAGCCCGATTTAAGCTATATCCAAATACTTAAAGGATTTAATAAGTACATAAAAAAAAAGTTTTAAATGTTTAATTATGATAATCACGATTATATTTTGTAACTCACAGTAGTACTTTATATATTTAGTCATAGGTATATAAAGACTTACAAAGTACCATATGATTGGTTTACCATAAAAAAAAACCCATTAAAATAATTGTAAACTTTTGATTTCGATAGTTCTTAGAGTTCTTAGAGTAACTCAGAGTTAGTGAACTCAAACTTAAACTCAAACTCACACTTATTTGAATATAAATATTTATAAATTTGTATTTAGTTAATTGTATCTAGTTATTATTACAATAGCTTTCAAAATAACCATAATATTGATAAGTATATTAAAATAAATTCAAAACTACCTGAATAAATTTTAGATTTATAAAACATACATTAATATAAAATTCAATAAAATCTCACTAATACAATACCATAAAAGACAAAAAAAAAATGGCTCTACTCAGGAAGATTGACTTATTAATGCACAATAAGTATTGTTTAAAATAATACTCGTAGAAACTCGTTACACACACTTGCACAAAACAAACACATCCACCGGTCAACTTTAATTTCAACGTTTTGCGGTATTTTCAAAACAAAACTATTTATAACAAATTAACTACTAGACTGATGTTTTGACTGATGTTTCACTAATGATATTTTTTTTATTGATGAAGATCATATTTTAATACTTTAATATCCTATTCCTGACGAAGACAAATCCAATAACACAAAAATCATAAACATTAGTCCAACCGTTCTTGAGTTATAAATGTTGTAACTAACACGACTTTGTTTTATATATATGGACTAAATCCTTAAAGTATTTGGGTATAGCTTAAATCGGGCTGTCGATGCAGTGACCATCGATATGGTGAACTACCCCTGCAGCTTGCCATCGATATGGTGTCGTGTCGATGCAACGACCGTCGATATGGTTTCCTATCGATGAAACGTAAAGTTGATATGGTGTCCTGTCGATGTAACGTACCATCGATATGGCGTACTCTCGCTACAGTAACCTCTCGATGGAACGTTTTCGATATAGCGACGATCGATGTAGAGACCGGCGATATTATGAACTAGACCCCCTAACGCCTGACCGAAAGCGGGCACCACCTTGGTTTGCTTAAATCTCTCAACCCATATTAACCTTTACCTTACCTTGTATAGATGATATTGTAACTTCTAAATTGTTCTATTTCCAGATTGCCGAGTAATCTAGCCAAGAATCGTTACACGGATGTGCTGTGTTACGACCACTCCCGCGTACTTCTCTCGCAGACAGATCCCGACGATCCCACTACAGATTATATCAACGCAAACTACGTTGATGGATACAAACAGAAAAATGCTTATATTTGTACGCAAGGTACGTGCATACAAATTGTCATATGGCAATTGTGTTGTTTTTATTAATGACCTCAGTTTTTATTATAGCACACTCATTGTTCATTAACTTTCGAAGGGTATTTAAATCTCATGTATGTTTATGAAGTAGTGGCATTTTGTATACTGACGTCATTCAAACCCTATCGTGAATAGCAAGAGCAATTACGCCGAATTTAATGGTGTCATGACCTTATCGTCACAGTTGACATTTGGCGCGGTTCCCAAGCTTACCTGGAACTGCAGACGGTTTACATTTATGACGCGAATGCTCTTTCTCTGTATTGTTAAAAATATAACTTCGTAGCCTATATCGATTCTGAAAATAGCTACCGTGAAGGACGGCCACGAAAAGATTTTTTAGTGCTTTCATGATTCGTATTGAATCCAGGTTTTCAATAAATAATTTTTTGATTTTGTGAAAGACTAATCCCGTATTAGGAATATATCCTGTGTCTCAGGGGACTTTACAAACATACAAGAAACGGCCACAAAGAACACCCAGACTCAGAACAACAATTTTTGGATCACACAAAGTGTCATCCCATGTGGGGAACGGACCCACAATACTCAGCGTAGTAGTGAGCGTGAAGTCTTCGTCTAGGCAATTGTCCATAGTATATTTTAACTTAAGACGTAATTATCTGAAAGAGTAGGAACGAAATAGAGAGATAACGAGTTAGAGATAGCGTAACTTAAATGGATCTAGAGTTTCGAATTGTCTATTAGGAAAAACCGGGTGATTAGGTAATTTCAATTATCAAAAGCATAGTAGAAATTTAATCACCGCTATACAATAAACTATTTAGATATTAGTCAGATCGTAGAATACTCCCAGTATTATATAGACAGATTCTAGTGTAGATAGTATATTCTGATAATTCAACAAAACTGCAGAATTTCTGTTGTATATATATTTTAAGGTATATTGTCAGTAATAGAGTCCTCGCTCTTGGATCGCCCTATTTGTGCTTAAAAGCCAAATTAAAAACTACAAAAGGAAATCTATTATTTTCAGGACCCTTACCGAAGACGTTCGGTGACTTCTGGCGTATGGTATGGGAGCAAGGAACCTTAGTAATTGTAATGACGACAAGGGCGGTAGAGCGCGGTCGCGTCAAGTGCGGCCAGTACTGGCCAATAACGCAGGGCTCCCGCGTTGTGCATGGAGACTTCGCCGTCACTACTGAAGCCATCGAACATGAGGATGATTACACCATTACACATTTGTTATTGACTGACTTGAGGGTGAGTTAAGTTTATCGGTAGTCGTAAAAGCGTTTTTGGATAATAAGTTTATAAGGAATTTTACGTTGTAGTGGAAATACATAAAATATGCACTAAAAATAACAATTGAATAGCATTATATTACGCATACATTACTACGTACTAAATTATTGTTACATCGCGGCACTTCGATTATTTCGTACCACGCATGGTAAAACGACATGAATTCATAATGAATGATTAAACTAATAGGTAAGATCTTGACCTAAAAGGTAAATGACTGTCGGAAAAAAAACATCGTATTGAATTACCATTGTATTGTGACAAGGTCTAGGTAGTTATTATCGAAACCATTGTGGACACATATTGTTATTCTTAATATACCTATTCTGTATGTTTCGGTTAGGACAAAAATAAATTTTGGTATAAACAGATATTATTTAACACAATATACCATAGCACTATAAATATTTTTAAAAACTTTTTTTTCTTTATCATTAATTTCCCGCAATGATGAGCCAAAAAATACCCACATTTAGCTAGCTTACATTAAGTTTGTAACACCACACGTCATTTGACTATGCGTTTAAATTTCTGCGATATTCTGTGATGAAGAGCATGTAATATTCCCAATAAATCCCAATGTTCATTACCTACAATATTGTATACAACTTACGAGGGGAGGTCCAAAAGTTCGTGAAATGAAAAAGTTTAAAATAAAATGAAACAATAAATCTTATTTTTCCTCGACGTTTTTCTTTGATGGCCTCCTTTAATTTCTATAGTATCGTTGCGTATCGTACTCCAAAAATTGTTTTGACGCATCCACGCGCTGTTGTTTCTGAAGCGGCGTGAGCATTCTCGGTACCCATCTTGCACATACTTTTGTCACACCCAGATGGATGTAGTCATGTAGGATACGCAAAATGGTGGTATCTGATACTCTAACTAACTGTTTTCCCTTCAAACGGGTGTCCTCCAGTCCTCAATTTTTTTCTACTTTTTCGACGATGTCTGGCCTCTACTGGCCTTCCTGAGCGGGGATCGTCTTCAATCGACGCCCGACCATGTTTAAAAACACCATGCCACTTGTAAATCATTGATTTACTAGGGCAGTCTCACCCATAAACGGTTTGCATTTCATTCAAAATAGTCTGAGCGTTCTTTCCTTGCTTGGTAAGGAATTTTATCACAGTACGTATTCAGTTTTTTTCCAGAAGAAGTAATAAAGAGAGAAGAGAAGTATTGTAATAAAACTTTAAAGTGAGCGAAGCCGGGGGGCAAAAAAATATATGTTTCTTGTTTATTCTAAGAGAGACTCACAAAATTATAAAAATGTTGTATTTATCTTGCAAAATATTTATTCATATTGCTGTTTACAACTGTCGCTACATATAAATACTCTAAAGGGGTCTATCGATTTAAATTGAGCAAAACCAATAAGCCAAAGTATGGAGGTGTATAATGTAAAAATAATATTTACACACAAATAATATTAGAGATGCGAATTAGAGTTTGTTTGTTAGCTTGTTACGACGTGAGACCCTAACTGCTCAACCAATTATCACGAAAAAAACACAAGGTATATATAAATATTTAAAAAAAATAGTACCGTTCTCAAAAAGTCAAAAGGTGGAGAATAAGATAAAAGAACCCTAAGAAAGAGAGTACCCTGCGTCGTGAGGGTTGCCTGCCATTAGAGTATACAGTAACTCTGATGCCAGCGAAGCGGGGAGTAGAAGCTATTATTTCTTAAGTATGGTGATGTGTGTGCAGCGGGAGCAGTCTCGGCGCGTATGGCACGGGCAGTACACGCGGTGGCCGGACTACGGCGTGCCGGGCGGCGGCTCGGCACAGCCCGTGCTGCGCTTCCTGCACCTCGTGCGGCGCGCGCAGCACCTCGCCCTCACCGAGTGAGTACCGCCCACGCACCCCACACAAACCACACACGTACATCCTACTCCTCACTCACTCTACGATCATACACTTTATAATGTTTCATTTAAATCGCAAGTGCAATAGTAGCAGCCTAAACAGTTAATAACTATTTCTTAATTTTTAAAAATTATGTCAAAGCTCTAAATGAATGTGCAAGCATATAACGAACTCCTTGTGTCCACTAAAATCCATTGAAAAGATCCATGATGGATTTTTGTGCATTTTTGTGTCCACCATAATACACTCAAGAGATTGCAATCTTTACTCTTCTTCTTCTGCACTCTTTACGATATGCAATTTTTTTCATCGATTTTTTTCTGCACTGTAAATAAAATTGCAATAGAAAGTGACAGAAAAACGTTCCTTGTATACCACTAACCTAAAATGGACTTATAGAAGCTAGTCTTAAGATCCATTTCTCGTAAAAATCTGTTTAGTACATGAAAGTGCACAAAAATCCATCATGGATCTTTTCAATGGATTTTAGTGGACAGAGGACATAAAACTTAGTCGTAGCATGATTGATTTAAATATTGTGTAATTTTCTTACTCCTGATTTAAATTATTGATTTGCGTGAGGTATACTTTTTAATTATTAGATTAATTACTTAGAAAATAGTTTTGATTGGATTAGACGAACACGAGCGAGTATTAATTTCACGAATACCTATTGACACTATTAACACATTATCTTTATTCAAATTTTTATAATTTTGAATGAAGATAATGAATGATAATGTGTAATATGAAAAGAAAGCTTACATCGCGCAAAAGTTTTAAACTTTGGATTGTTTGAAATATACAAATTGAAGTAGAATTTTTTTTTTTTGAAGTATTAATGAGCGCCATTGTTTCAGCTTGGGAGATGCGTGGGCGGGACACAGCAGAGGACCGCCGATTGTTGTACACTGCTCCGCCGGCATCGGGAGGACGGGTGAGGCTAGACTTCATTAAAGTTTGAGTCTTATGTTGATTAATTGTCTAGTTTTATTAGATCACCTTATTAATCAGTACAATTTATTAGCCGTTCTATAAAATGTTATAATTTTTAAGTTATTCTTGATAAATATTTATATACTGCTTATGTCCAGCAGTGGACTATTAAAGGCTGTTGATGTGATGTGATGTTAAATATTTCCGATTTTTGTTTTTATACAAAATTATTTAACAATATTTCTATTCTTTATTTTTCGTTCAATAGTATGTTCTATAACGACAATTACAGTAGCGGTAGCCTTAGGCATTTTTTGTCAATTTTTTATTATTCTGTTTGTTCGCTTGCTACATCTGAATTACTCAACGGATTGCCATGGAATTTTACATACCATACACCTCATACATGATGTGAGACGTACTGAAAAAAACCTTGAGACAAAATAGAGTGAGTGAAGTTACCAGAGTCAAAACTTCCCCCTCCTGATTATAAAAAGGGTCGATCGATCACTTACCCTCAGGTGACCCGTATAAGTAATTTTATTTATTCATATATTTTCACCCAGAAAAAGTAATGTTTCCGAATGATAGAAAATAAGTGAAGCGTGTGTGTGCGGCAGGCACGTTCCTGACGCTGGACATCTGCGCGGCGCGGCTGAGCGCGGAGGGCGCGCTGGACGTGCGCGCCACGGTCGAGCGCATCCGAGCGCAGCGCGCGCACTCCATACAGATGCCCGACCAGTACGTCTTCTGCCACCTCGCGCTGCTCGAGTACGCGGTACGTACCCCGCCCTCCAACTCGCCGCACATTTTAATGTTCTACAAACATTTTAGTATTCTAGAAGTAGGTACTTCCTTTATGCACCGAATGACATGTCGAAAGTAGATAATGCAGTAAATCTGCTAGTATTTACTGAACCGCGACGTCCGATTTCGTGTATCCCCATTTTTTATTCCAATATCACTATAATCACTGCCCCATCTTGAGCCTGAAATATTAGCGTTACGTAAAATAGTCATTAAAATTTGTGCTGTCGATTGTACAACTTGTAGTTTCAAATACTTTAAAAAATCGACTAGTCTTACGTCGGTCGCAGTAGCATCGTCGCATCTTTAATTGTATTTAACCAATAAAGCCGCGCCCAACGAAAAAGCTTCCCCCGCTTCCTGTTGCACGTTTCCGTCCCTTGTCGCGAAATCACTCTCACAGACTGCAGGAAAGCGAGAGGAAAAATATGATAAACCAATTATAATTTTATCGTAAAACATTGTAGGTGATGCATGGCTACCTCGACTCTGCTGACTTGTCAGGATTCGACGACGATAATGAAGATGAGTCCGAATGAAGACTGTCTCGTCCGTCCTGCACCTTGCTGTGAGCCGCTCCGGCCTCGAGTCGCGAGTGCTACAGTGTAGAGGGACTCTCAGCCGAGTGACTGCTCTAACAAACAGTGTTTATATAGCTAAAATCGTCACCGGTCTCCGTGTCATATGCGCTCTCAGTCCGAAGACCTGAAGCGAATGGACTCAGTGAAATAGTAAATAACCTTTCAGCCGCCGCCATACCACTGCACAAAAGAGAGATGTGTTCATTAGAATAGTTGCAGTGGGACACAGTGACGAAGTGACGAGTGACTTGTCCCGCCGCCCGATGGATTGCTAATGGCATTATAATGTAACATGTACAGTGAGAAATGTTTTTGATGCAAATTGTAAGTTGCGCCCTCCCTGATTACTGACTGATCGATGATTTTTGTAATAGATAAGCAAAAGCGTGCTACCGCATAATGACTGTACGATGATGTGTTGCGCAATAAGAGGTAGATAACTTACATACATGAACGAAATTAAGAAAGGGCCAGAAATATAAACGTCTTAACGGCCTCGACTGACCTAAACTAAGCCAAATGGCCTAGTTTCATTGTGCTCCTTTCAGAACATTTATCTACCTGTGACTAAGTTTTAAACCCACAGACATTGTACAGTCATTTTATTATTAGTATGTAGGATAGAAGGCAAGGTTCGACTGTACATAAGTATGCGAATTGAGTGAAAAAATGGCGCTAGTATAGTCAAGGAAGTACACTTCGCTTTGTTTCACTTCACTCCCTAAACTTAATTTTAAGCCGTACTTCGTCGATTGGTGTTATTGATCGTGGTTATTCATTCAACTATATAATTTAAAAAATGTAAAAGATGGACAAGTTCTTCTTTGAGGCGGTCTTCCTTGCCCTCTAGTCTCTATAATGCGGAAGGACATTAATTATATTATAACACCTTTCTGAGACATCTAAGGCCCATACAGAACGGTGTATGACTTTGACTTGACAGATTTCATCCCTTATGTAACATATCTGTATTGACAGCATGCAGTCGGCTCATAGTATAAGTAAAGTATACATATGAAAATGGTTCCTGTAGCAAGAATAAGAACTGAATAGTAAAACAGGTATTGGAAAAGAAGCCTCCCAACTTGAGTATTTATTTCCATGTTATAAATGTTTGTAACCAAAAAAATATTTCCATCATTATTTAGGTTTTTATTATTTATTTATATTACGTAAGAAGTTATGGCTGTGTAAAGATTTTGTCTATAACTTGTGTAATTATGTTTACATCTTTTTATTTCACTAAATGATTGCCACAAAAACGTTGTACGACTATGTTACCATGAGCTTTTCAGGTTTCATTGGCTTTGAATATTTACAGGTGCTGGTTCTCGATTAACTATTAAATCTTTCATTTATAAAATCTCAGATCTATATCTGTGTTACACGTTTATTATTGGCGCTAATGCTTAAAAGGGCCATTGTATGAATTTGTAAAAATATTCTGAGGCATTTAGACGTCGCGTCCTTACAAATTATTATAAATTAATTATTATATTATAGATTTTACATAGACTGAGTAATGTTAATATATTCTGAGAAATAATCGGCGACCGTTTGCATCCTCATAAATGAATTATCGTAATGCTAAAATCATTACACATATTTCTTTCTAATGTTATCTAAACAATATATGAGTTATAATGATGACAAATCAATAATGTATTTTATTACTTTTCAAAGAAATTAGCAACATATCTATTAACACAATTTTGAATCGCCGTCCTATTACGTAATTTACATATCGCAGTAAGAAAGAGAAGTAGTTTCTCTGCGGCATCTGAATCTCTTGCACGTCTCTTGCCAAGTATCTATTTCAATCTGTATCGTGAAAGTGGAATAATATTTAGAGAAAATTAAATTTAAACATTTGATTGTATGGTTGGTAAACACGACTCTTAATAAGTTAAATAGCAAAAAACTATGTTTATAAACAATTATACGCTCAGCTATTAACGAATTAAATTATTTATAACTATTCTTAAAAGGAGTATGTTGTAATAATTTAGTTCAGATGGTAAACTGGTTATATTATATATAATAAAAATACCTGTGAATGTTATTTCACATTCCCGATACTAACGTATCTGCATCCGTTAGAAGCGGTTCAATGCCTATTCATAGTTTTAAAGACGCACCTTAAATCGTAAAAGGTACTCTTTACAGTAAACACACCCCGCTTTAGTTTCATAGAAGCAGTGGCTTGCTCCATTGTTATTTCGAATTTTATAAAATTTATTATCAATCACGTGTCATGTTAAATTTTGCTTAGTACAGCCGCGTTTAATAAATAAATGTAAATGAAATGTTATAGCATTTTGCGCACTTAGTGTAAATATCGTGCATTTTGTACGAACTATATGCCACTAACATTGTCCAAACACGTGTCTCTTATATTATTTAATAATAAGTAAATTGTTAATCTGGAACAACTGTTAATTCTTGTATATGTAAATATTTTAATTATATTTTGTTCAAAATAATAATAAAAACCATTGTGAAAATATGTGTGAAATAAAAATCTTGTAATATATTTAAATGAATGATTTTATTACAATTTGATACCCACACAAAAGATCCAAAGTACATTATTGGGTTTATACTTGGTTATTTCTTTGTTCATTATAAAAAAAGAGGCCTTATGGCAGATTCCATTGAATTTCTTTTAGCCTTGAGAATGTCTTAGAAAAATAAATATGCTATCCATTTTCATGTGATTATTACCGTACCGTATGGTGACGGATTAAGAATACGGAGTGTAATACAAGGTTATTATATCTTCTATCTGTCTGTCAGCGGTATATTCCTTGCGTCGAGGTTACCAATGGGCTTGGATGTCAAGACTTTGTAAGTTTTAACATCCATGCTAATTTACGAACGAATTAAAACTATGGTGATTTTGCATTTAACTTTTTATAAGCTTTATTTTTTTATCTTACTATTTAAGTAGAAATAGCAAATATAATATACACATTGATAATAAAAGTTGTTATCTCAAAGCCAGTGGCTGAGTTATAAATGCACTCGAAATTGAAAATGTTTTTTTGGTAGAAAGAGTGTACTTGATAGTAGGGCAGCCCATAAAGCTAAATGTGGATTTACTCGAGCGTCATGGAGACCTATTGCATTTGAAAGATAAGGTAATAGAATGAATAAAAGGTTTATAATGTATCCACTTTCAGCGGTGGGAAAAGCTTCTAAAGGTAAAAATGTAAGGATAGGAAATCGAAAAAGAATATTCGGGCGCATCAGATATTTGGACGCCAAAAATGCTCCTATTGAAAGGTCTGACTCAAGCTCGTAGCGAATTATCGAAAATGCAAACTGCAAATCGAAAAATCGCCGTATCAAAATACCCGAATGTGCTAGATTTTATACAGACGGTTCAGCTTGATGTTCTTCTCATATTAGCCAAAAATCTGACGATGATTTTATAGGGATATTTTAAAATGTGATTAATAAAGGCACGAGAAGTTATGTAGACTTCTTGCATTGTTTGCTTCCAAAAAAAAGTCAAGGTCATGGGTTAATTTTTGGACCTTTTTGACCCTCCCACTGCTTTAAATACATATATAATACATACAATTTTTTTTAAATACACTAATGTGTATATAATTGACTTAACTTACCTTAATCTTACACGCTTAATCTTACAAAAAAAAACGATTCGATTTTTTTTTACTAATCTAATGAGCTGCCCTAGACGCTCCCTCCTGTGTGTAGAGCTGATGTATGGTGGAGATACTCAACTGGGTGTAAGGTATTTCTCCTATCTTAATCTGACACGGTCGAGTAAATCCCGAAATATCTCCTAGGGCTCCTATACTATAATGCTTGTTGCAAAGCTTTACCGTCTTTGAGAAGTTGACCGAAATCTCTTGTTAAAATAAAGAATTATTCCCGCACATAATATTTAAACCAATATTTATTTTATTATAATCAGCTTACACAATACTAATAATAATAGTAATTTACATTAACAATGTTAAAACTCTGAACGTACAGTGAATTTAAAAAAAATGTCCAGTGCTGTCTTAAGGGTCCCCCCTTAAGACAGCACTGGACATTTTTTTTAGAGGGTTCCATCTAATAAAACATAATGATTTTTAAATGATACGGGCTTAAGAGGATTAAGCCAACTTAGTTAGCTTAATTACGAGTAACTATCCAAGAACAGGCTGTCAAAATTTCTTATTGTAATTATGAGGTAGAATCGAGCGCTCGTCTTTAAAGCACTTTGTCAACTAGTTTATTCTTTGTTAGCCGCCATAGCCCTCTGCATATATTTTAAATAACGGTGCTAACGATTATAAAAGTGAAGCACAATTAATTATTTCGGTTATATTTTGTTAGAGCTTTGACAGTTTTGATTTAGCCTTCTATAAGTGCCTTTCGTACAAGTAATGACTTTGTATTTGAAAGTCGCGTAAAAGAAATACAAGCAAAACGAAGCCTATTAGGCAAGAGGGTTTGGAGCTAGAATTGCTCATTAATTGGTAAGCCCTTTTTTAGCCTGTGTTGTCCCACTGTAGGGCGAAGGCCTCCCTCTCTCCCTTCCACATCTGTCTGTCGTGTGCTAGTTCGGACCAGTCTTTTCGGAAGCCGTCTAGATCGTCCTGCCATCGTCGCCTGAGCCTACCACGCTGTCGTTTAGCACCTTGTGGGAGCCGAGTTGTGCTAATGTTTGCCCATAGATCCATCGGCATGCGGCAAACGACCAGCCCAGTCTCACATAAGTTCGGCGGCTTTATGAGTGGTATTTTTTACTAGTGCGATTTGTGCTACTCCTAAACACATGTATGTATTTGTAGCCCTTATTATTGTTAATTTAATTAAATTCCTAGTTTCAATTATTTCTTTCCTCCGCAACTTTCTTTATTTTTATTTTTACATTTGTGGGAATGTGACTAGGTTACCAAGTAATGAAACTATAATTATTAAAAATCAGAAAAAGAAGAAACGTTGACGATTTAAATAACTCTCGAATATTGTAAAATAGATTCATGTAAAATTAAAAGCTTTTTAACTATTTTTTTATGGAAGAAGGGGCAGACGAGCAGACGGGTCACCTGATGGAAAGTGATTACCGCTGCCCATGAACGCCTGCAACTTAGGAATCTCAGACCTAAATTTGAATGGCTCATATCGTAATTGCAAAGTTTCGTTGCGATCTACAGCAAAAAGTTGTCAGTGACTCTGACGGGGCCACCATCATGGATTTTAATTTTGATAACATAAAAATTTGGTCGCTAATTTGTCGAAATTTGTCGGTCACTGGTTCAAAAGTTATAAGCGTTTATAGGAGGCCCTGCTTGAGTCAGTCTCCTATCAGCAGGGCAACGTTTGTATGTCAAAAAGTAGGGCGACATCAAGCGAAGGTCTGTTTTCTCCCAAATTTAGTCGTTAAATAGTCGAAATTTGTCGCCATATATCAGAATTTGTCGGTCATTGGTTCAAAAGTTATACGCGTTCTTAGGTGGCCGCCCTTGGGCGAATCTTACCAGGTGGGCCACGCTTATATCTCAAAAACTAGGGCACATAGCGAAGATCTGTTTTCTCCAAACTTAATTCTTTCTTAATTCGACTTAGATCTTCTTTGTGTATGGGACATCTTCTCCAGTCGTGAACCGATTGCCTTAATTCTTTTTTAATAACGCCTTGAACTGGTTATCCAAATTTCACAGAAGTCCTTCGATAATATTTTTTTACTGGAACTTCATAAATTCGGCTGAACTTTAATGTGAACTCCCTCCTTAAGCTGTTAATGTCACTAAAGTAAGAAAGTTCACTTAATAGTTTCATAATCATTACATGAATTCAATTAGGACTAGGCGTGGAGTACTGTGGTTTGAGGACTCCCACGAACAAACAGCGTTGGTGGCAGGTCATGGCTAATTATGTCTAACCACGCCAAGTACAAAGCCGCAGGCACTGTATCCTGTAAAAATATCATATCGTTAAGGAAAATCGTCCTTGTACTTTAAGCAAAACAGTACTTTTTAATAGAATATAGAGCCGTTTACGTCAGCGATACAATGTATGTCGTTTGGAAGCCAATACGATCTCTGCCTCTTGACGTACGCGCACTTTCATTGTCTAATACATAATCAACTTCATTTTCAGACATGTTGCTTTGCCTAGTCATATTGGTTTCTATGTTGTTATTGGTATTATGTTATGAGATTCTAATACAATACCCTCTGATGCCATATTTACAAAGTTAGATTTCTTTTAATATTATATTAATGGTAACAAAATGCTTGCGTAAAAACCATCCCTAAATTTAAGTGCCTATACTTTTTCTAAATATTTTTAAATTGGTGTTCATTTCTTTTAAACATATAAACACACACACACACACACACACAACAATTGCTTATTTACAAATAAAATGTAAATTTACATGTCTATACATGTGTTTTTCTACAACAAAAATGAGATATTACCTGTCTCGGATATGGCAAAGTCATAACGATGAGATCTGCTGCAAACGAATGCTGTAGTACCAATTCTCTTATTCGTAGATGTTTAGTAGTTTTCCTTAATAGTTTATTTAACACATCACCTGATATGAGGATGGGATCTATAAATGAAGAGCAAGAATAAATAAAATTGTAAAAGGGTTTTGCCACATTTAAGACCCAGAAAACACATTGAGTTAGTTATATATTAACAAATCAAACAGCTTATACCTTCCTGAAGGTCAATTCTCATAATGAAAATTCGTTCAAAAATCAGTTCCGATCTTCTCTAGATCTAAAAAATGTCATAAAAGGTATTATCGTAGTAAATAGTAAAGAATTAATAAGACTAGCTGAATACCTATTCAACTTCGATTACAATACTATAAAATCACATTACAGTCAATATTGGATGATACTTTACTACGAAAATAAGTTTTATGACATTTATGAGGTCGAGAGTAGGAGAGAGTTGACTTTCTGGTTAAAAGGGCCACATTACCGCTATCATAAGTTGCAATCAATGTTAATGTTTTGCGTTGCAAATCATACTAAACGAGTGTAACGACGCAGAAAATCTGACGACTCAACTGGTATGTAAAACTCATTTTAAGTGTTTTTACCTCTTAGTAAGGATTGTCTTTCAAGGGTTAATAAGCAAACTACATTATGTCTATGTCTGTGTAATTTGTTTAATGATTTTTAAACCATTTAATTATTTACTTATAAAAAATATAACTAATTTAATCCTCGCTTATCACAAAACACCGGTGCGTTGCCGGTCCTTTTGGAGGTGAGAATACACGCGTTGGTTGAAGGTTGTATCGGTCCGGAAATACCGCACTTTAAAAAGACTCGGTTTATAGATGAAAACTCAGAAAAGACTAGATATTTTACGGAAACTGGTGCCAAAATAAACTCGAAATAGTAAATAGTTCCGAAAGCCTTTTCCTCCTTTTTTTTCTGTGCGGAAATCCCCTCGGATACCACCCACCAAGAACCAGGTGTACCCTAGGAAGGAAAACCCTGATACCCCGACGTACCTCGGGCCATCTACGGCGTGGAAATGACCCCCTCTTGTGTAGGAACCCCTATGTCCCCTTTGTGCTCCCGAAAGGGCGCCAACCCACCACTGAGTCGTCTGCGGTACCTGGCCCGTTGTCGGGCCTGGGGCTCTAAACCTCTGCCGGTCTCGCTCCACCATCTCCTTTGCAAGCATAACTTACAACTTACTTCCGTACCATGGTGGCAATCATGTTACCGAGCGAGAGAATTTCCACTCCGATAGCCGCCACGAGGCAACGCCTCTGCTTCACCCACGCCGGGCATTCTGCCAGCGTATGGAGCGCTGTGTCCACGGTCCGGCCATCGCAGTGGTGGCACTCAGGCGTTGGCTCCTTGCGGATCAGACACAGGTGATCTTCGAAGCATCCTTTCCCGGTGATCACCTGTGTCAACCGGTATGAGAGGGTTCCGTGATGCCTATCGAGCTAATCCTCCGTAACGGGTGTTACCGCCGCGATAACGGTGTGCCCAACATCCATTTCCTCTGACATAAATCCTTTATCTAGTAATTAAGGAACAGAAAGGAAGGAGTTTTCAGCTAGAAGTCGATTTACAGCCTAGTAAGGACACGCAATTTCAAAACCTCCAGTTTATAGCTTGTACATACGTACGTTCGTACTATTAACCGCTTAAGTAGTTAATGATTTTATTACATCTTAAGAAAAACACATACCTTGCACACCATCGACCTTTTCACTCTTGTGATTTTCTATTAGGGAATTAAACATATCCCAAGTCAATGTCTGTGGCGGTACATGAATATCTTCTATAACAGTCAAGTGCGAATACTCTATACGAAACTTTTGGAAAAGGTTCTTAACGCTGTTAGATAAAACATACCTAATTAATTGTCAATACTTTAGTGTTTGGGTGGATAAAAAAAAAACACTTCGAAAAAGGCCATGTTATAAAGCATCTGTGTCCGGCCGGCGAGTGTGTATAAGTAGACATAAAATGTCTAAAAAGCACAAACTGCATGTTTGAATTTTAGAAAAAAGGAAGGAAGTAGTTGCTGAGATCTCCATGGCCGTGCAATCTTCCACCTTACGTTCACGCGGCCAACTTAAAACCCTTATAACTTCTTTGTTTCTACTTTAAAGTTTTTTGGTTTGTTCCCTTCGATTTTGACAAATTTTTAATAAATAAATGATAACGTGGCTGTATGGAAATATTAATAATATTTTATTAATTAAGAGGTAAGTTGTGATTACTAAACATACCTATTATATGAGTCAATAGTTTTCACGCCAGGATAGGGTAGTACAAATATTCGGAGCATCATTTTATGTTTACAGCCGCGGTTCGCAATAATATAAGGCAGTAAAACATTTATGCCTCCATCATTGTATAACCACCACACATCCAAAGTGCTTCCCTGTAATACAAATGAACTTATGTTTACACATCAGGTTCTCTAACTAGTTCTAATTTATATTACACAAAAAGATGTATAATAAGGCAAATTTAGTAAATATGCCCAATTTCTTTTATCCACACTTCCATACTTATATTGTGAGTTAAGTACCATAAAGTGAGTTTTTTTTGTGTGTACGACGCTTTCACGCCTAAACCGGTGGTGGAGCCGCAGATCAAAGCTAGTTTAACTCATATATCCGTACTGGCATGTTACTTGGCATGTTAGTCGTTTCGTTCTACTTCTACTACTACGTTCTACTCAAAAACGGAAAAGAAATAAGAGGCGGCATCCACGTTTCCAGGGTACTACACTACGTGGAGATTTTGTAGCCAGCACCCCACCTATTGTCTATCTACCTAAACCTCAATCGTGAGAAAACCATTCTTAGGCACAAATGGGCCAGCTCGACCGGAGTACGACCACGGCTCCACTGAGCAATTAAGAAGTAAACAATTCTTTCAGTGCTCTTCACCGAGTGAGTAAGGTTACCGGAAAAATACTAACATACTAATAGATCACAATAACACACATAGGTACATCACAATAACACTTCTCGAATGATTTTCTCCAGTTACTCTCTGATTACTTAATTTTTTTTTAAAAGATGTATACTTCCACTTAGTAAATTCCTCCAATATCATTAGTATATAGTAAAATATTAAAATCAATGATTCACCTGCTGAAAAACTAATGGTCTATAGGCGCCATATACATTGTAAGCTCCGGAAATTTGTTCAGAAACTGTAGCTTGAACGAACGAGTCTGGGGCTAATTGTAACGTTTCCTTGTCACTTTCCTGACCATCTGTCAAACATTAATATTAATTTTATAATAACTTGGCGCTAATTGATCCGAGGCCTTAAATGAATATATTAGAGAAATTCTAAAGGGCCTAATGCAAGTTTATTTTACAATAACTCGCTCTCGACAGCAAGCGCGTACGACGTTGCGATTGGTAAAGATTGCAGTGCGGACCAATCGCAGCGCCGAACGCGTCACCGTGACGATCGAGTAGATGAGAAATAAACTCGCACTTAGGCCTCACTAATTAAGAGGTGACAACGCACTTGCGACTCTTGAGTAGCAGGTGTCTATGGACGGCGATAGTCGCTTATCATCTGCTAACTCTCATTTTGTCTATACACCCATAAACAAATATATTAAGGAAAATATATATTGGGCCTTACCTTTTTTTTTTTATTGATGTATCGATGTCAGAGTCATTGGCTGTAATCTGTAGTATTTGGGACTGTTCATCGTTATCGCTTGTATTTGAATCTATCTTGGGATTTTCGAAATTAACCTTTTGGCGTTTAGGTGGACGATAAGTACCTGATACCCTTAGGACTGTAACTGCCAAACCGAGCTCAAATGCCAGGCTAGAAAAAGTGTTAATTTTAATGATGCTATGCAGATATGCCACTGTTATACTCGTACAAGACTGCTGTTATGTTGACTATAATGTTGTTACTTTGTTTTCAGGCAGTTTTAGTTCATCATGTTGGCTATTTTTATCTCACTAGAAATAATATCATAAATAATAAAAAGTCAATATTATAGTATCTATTAAAGTTATAAAATTCTGTATGTAAAAAAAGATACCGTTTATTTAATCACCTCGGTTTGAGAGCACCTCCTTAACTGCCTTAGCCAGTGTCGGAATTATTGGCATAGAGATACCGAGCGAAGTTCAGTTTCGCGGTCACTTAGGGAGTTAAGGTCAACTAAGTCTCGAACGAGCTTGGTATGCTGAACAAATCGAGACAGTATTTACTAAAAAGCACAAGTTTGGCGGCATACACTAATAGTAATACTGTTCTCGTCTCTATGGAGGTGCACCCTAGTACCAACTTCGCCCTCTGGACTGCATCCAACGGAGATCCTCTCGAATCGTCGATAGCTAAAAGCTCTCTGATCGACTTAGCCTCTTGGCATTACGTAGATATTCACTCTGCATTCTCTATCGTATGTATCATGGAGAGTGCTCCGAGAAATCTCTTTAAATAATCTGATGACAATTTTTGTGGGAATGATTTGGGTGATGAATTGCTGTTTGGATCTGATAATTTTTTTACATTATTCAATATGACTCGATGTAAGTTTGACTTGGAGACTGCACATGTAAATTTCTAGGTTTTTGTTAAGTGTGTACGGAACTTACCTAATACAGCGATAATAAGTTGTCAACATTGCGTGTGGACAGACGCGCCATCTATACATAAAACCTATGAGAAAAATATTTGGAGCGAGACTGCCAAGGCCTGAGCACAGGATAAGGGTTCGGAGTCCCTCTTCTAAACTATAGCCATCCAAAAAGACGTAAAACCCTCTCGCATCACGCAGCTGCATCCATTCCTGGCCAAAATTTATTTTTGCATTTCGATCGGCAGCATTGACCTTTTCCTAAAAATAGTTGTTATCTTAACTAAAATGATTGTAGGGATCGTTGGATTTTTTCAATCTGTCCCTGCTTGAAGGGATACTTGAAAGGTTTTTGTCTACTGCCCAGATGTACCTACTATTAAAAGTATATTCATTTAGCAGTTAAGATATTTGAAAGTCCGGTATATAACATTACACTATCAACTTGATAAGTTTTATAAACGGGATTTTTAAATGTGTATTTTCGGGAAAACCTATGATAATTAGTCCCTTCCTTTTAGTTCGGCTAGGTACAAAAGCGTATTTATTTAGTTTTTTTTAAACTATTATTTAGTTTAGTTTTTTAGTCATTAATGATATTTATTATATTATTAGGACTAAAAAAGTAACAAGTAAGTTTATTAATATACATATGCTTCAGCACATGCCTTACTACGGAAAAACCCGTTAATCTTGAAGGTCCTGATCAGGACAATGGGAAAAACGATTTAAATGATTGCATTATCATCGGTCCCTGATAAGTGTGCAGTTTCAATTAAATTCGAATTTAATTTGAAGTTCGTCAAAATCATGTTTGAAGATTCAGTACACACACACATACCGAGCTAATAGAAGTAGACTTGTTGAAGTGACCAAGATGACAGCTGCTACTCTGCACATCACTAAGAATCTGCTCGTATCTTGGCTGTTAAAAGATGTCGTTAGACAGACTAACGGTTTGTGCCTCCACATTTGCAAGACATAGCGCCACTTCCGCCCAGCTCTAGAAGCTCCTCTTTTATGTACATACACTTTACACAATTATCGTTATTGCGTGATATTCTTTGAACATAAATGTGACGGAGAACTACGTATTTAATTATTACCTGTTGAATTTCAGCCATTATACAAAACGATCCTACTGCAGTGATAATCTTGCCCATGTCAAGTAACCATTCCCTTTCGTGAGGGGGCCCGGTTAATATTAGAAGCTGTGGGTTAAAGGACTTGGTATTTGCCCTGCGCTTAGACATTTCTAATATTTTTGTTACGGTCACTTGATAATTCTGAGCATCAGTGCTGCCTGCCCAGTCCGTTTCTGAAATTATAAAAATGGTCGTACATCACTACAATATATATATCTTGAACTGACAGTCAAATTATATTTACCTGGATGCCTGTATAACACTATTAAATAAAGAGTCAAGAAGATAAATGTGGTCACAAGTGCCATCAGCCAGCTGATTATCATCATTATTATAACACACATGACGAAACCCGCAAAGGATAACCATAAATTATAGTACTGAAAAAAAGGCGATAGGACAGAAATGTACATTACTTATTTAATGATAATATGTAAATAAAACCGTGGAATTTAAACTGTTTAACAAAATGTATTTTGTAATATCTAACAGTGAACAAAGTTGGTATGATATGAAAAAAAGAATGCGACACTTTAAGCGTAAGTGAATTTGTCTATATAATTTTTACAATTTTTGAGGCGTACCTTCAACAGTGTCAGAGGCGAATCTATTGTAACAGAACAGGTAAAAAAGTACACCTAATATCAGGCAATCGTTTTTTAAACATTAATTACAGCTCTAAGTTCACATTAATCTAACCATTCTTAAGCCTTCGCGATATACTTTCAAGCATTTATTCTGAAGGATTAAGAAGGGTACTAGACGACCATATTTTGCCAACTACAATTTTTATTCCACTTACGTATAGGCAGTAGCACTACTGCTGTCAACCGGCCACTTTAGTTATTGATGCGAAATTTTTGAGTACATTTTATTAAAGGAAAAATTTTTGAGATGTGAAAGATGTAGGTAAGGGATATTGCTCATAGGGATTTATTAGGGAGTGTAAGCAATATCTTGTGTACGTCTGTCGTAACTGGCTGTTGTCTCGTAGTTCGAGCTCTCCTCTAACCGTACTCACGCTCCTAGTAAGATCTATATATCTTAAGTTCTAATACAAACAATTAAATAAACATAGTTAACAGTACATAAAAATTGAACATTTACTTACACGAAAGCCAGGCCGCCAGTTAATCGGTTTGACGAAAGCCGCATGAAATGTGCAAAAGTTAATGAGTGCATACGACGCAAGGTAGAAGTTTGTAATCAGTGGAGCTATTGTATTTAGATCCGCTGTGAAGTTTTAATAATAATAGTAATGTTAAGTTATCATATGCATTTTGGAGATCCCCGATAGTCTCGGACTCGACAGGTGCCCTTTTACAAGGCGTGCCGTGAAGTACACACATGTCTCCATATTACCGTAATACGAGCACCACCCGCACCATCCGTACCATCCACAATACAGTATTTCTTCAATAAACATGAATACTACTGACAAAAGTTTTTATTTAAATGATAACTATTCTTTCCCAAAATAAAATTACTAGAGTAAGTCCTCAATGTATAATTTCTTCAATGACTTTACTTGTTGCCAAGAAAGTTGTCCTTTCTCAAATAAATTTGAACCTGAGTGCAACTGCAACAACACAACTGCGTGGTCTACAGTACTTGCATTTTCTCCATAGTTGAAGCCCATGACAGAATCGAGCATAACGTCCCCTAATTGAACTTTGCTGAAAACTGTATGGCTTTAGGGTGAATAAGGTGTAACATTAAAGTGGAATTAATAGGCTAACCTTAAAAGATAAACATATGCCATGCCGGACTTTTCTAGAGGTCGATGAAAGGGGAACAATTCCACCATATATTGTTTTGTTATATCGCAAAGGGATTTGTTAGCGTTTTCAATGAAAGCTCCCAGTCGGCTTGTTTTTTCTGTTATCTCCGACAATTATCGTCATATTTCATCCAATTTACAGAAAACATTAATTATTTATAAATATAAACCTTTCTCATGAATCACTTTGTACATTGGTGAAAATCATAAAAAAATCCGTTCAGTAGTTAATTAAATTATACTATCGCGTTCATACAGAGAGGTAGATGCAACGGGAAATTTTGTTCTAAAAATGTAGTGATAGTGATTAGATAGCGATAGTGATAATTTACCGTATGCTAATAGTTAAGACTACATTACCTATTTGATACCTATTTAGAGGAGGTTGAAAAAAAGCCACCATTTTGTGGCGGTGGCCATCTTGGACTTACAATGTAACTGAATATATATTTCTGTATTGTCATAATGTCGAGGAAGGCGGTAAAATTTTAATTACCAAATTTGACCCTAACAGGTGAAGTTAAATAAAATCGTTTAATAAATCCTCCTAGTCCTAATGAACCTAGACTTGATAATATCAGCTTTATATAATATTCGTTTAAGTACAAGATTCGTTTTGATCCAAATACCAAACATTTGAAGTGCGCGAAAAGCTTGTAGTGCGCCATTGACCTTGGATTCTTTTATACTGACATAATTTTTCTTGACATCTATGAGGTTAGTTTATATAAAAATTAACTTTACCAATAAGCAAGAAGAGAAGCGAGATTATGAACACAAGAACATATCCTCGGTAAGCTTCGCCGTGTCTGCCGTACTGTTTGGAGAAGAAGATGAGCCCAGGGTAGATGCGGTCCGTGCCCAGTGCCTGTACTAGCCTTGGGACTGATAGGAGATTCGTCAAAGCCGTTGACAATGTCGCCGCCCAACAGCCTGCGTAGATAAGTGGACCCCATAACGCCATCAGTTGCATTATCTACAGTCAGAATTAGTAATGTCATTCATTCATTCAATGTCGTTGTTAGAAATAATTGTAGGGAAATCATACAATAATACAGACTTCAATATTCTGTCAAATGTTCAACTTACTTCATAGTTGTTATGTAGTCCGTACTTGCAGCTGGGCTTGCAACTGGCTAAGAGCGTACTGTTCCCAACGTGTGCTATCTCGCCAGAAGCATCACGAAGAGCGCCCGTTCCTGACAGGACTGCCATTATCAGATAGCTGGTAATGGATATAGCAAGGGCAAACAAGGTCCCCTTAGGAATTGCGGCAGCAGGATCCTGAAAAATAGATATAAAAACAAAATAACATTTAATAATCTAAACATATGTTTTTCTAGATTTCATGTTTATAAGAGGGACCTGTCTTGCTCATTATGCTTTTTGGCGTGAGTTGGCTAGCATACTAAGCTAACTACCATGGTTGTCTCATCCAAATGAGCTATATACCAAAAGGGAGTTTATGAGGCCATGTATAATACAACCGAATGGCATTTTTTTAAAATAAACAATTTTGGATGTATCCCTAGAATTAAAACTTGAATTAGCAAAATTGTTTGTTATTCTTGTATTTGATAGGCACACTACACAGTAATCCGATATTAAACATCATCTTTTACCGGCGGAGCAGTGGCCATTTGGAACCTTTAAAGATTGACTACTGCTAAATAAATTATATTTTTTAAATATCAATACCCTGAGATCACCACAAATGTTAGCACCAGATTGCACACCAGTCATTGATGGAAAGTATATCGCGAAAATGGTGATGAAGTGGTGATCTTCACCTTCACTAGTCCGGAAATCTGGACCCCAGTTTTGTTTCGCTGTTTCCTCTGCAAAAAACGCCTTTTATGAAAATTTCATCTTGAATGTAGATGTAGATTTTTGTCTATCACTTTACTACCATACACGAAAACCATATTGTGGATGAGCACGATCAGGTTATGTGTACGGGTCTAATTAATCTATATGATTATATGTATTTAAAATATATTACTATATTTATTTAGAATTATTTGCTCTCTATTACGTAAATCGGACTAAAATAATATTTGGCAAAATGAGAGCGATTAATACGTCCTTTAGGTTTCTTTTTTTTTGTCTATACTGTCCAAATCTTGGGCATCCCTCCAAACTTTCCTAGTAGTCCTGGTGGTATTCATCGTACCGCCTCTAGGGCTGGCCTCGAGCACCGCTTCCGTCTTTAGACAATTTAAGTAGCTACTTCTGCTCTACGGTCGTTTTGCATCTGTCGCATGACTTGAGCCTGGTGGCTTATTAACTTGTAGTCTGTTCCTATTCATTTTACTTACTGCTTATACCCACAAAGCCCTGCACTTTTTCATGAACAGTTGCTGGCCCCATTAAAGCACCAATGATGTAATTGAAAATAGCAGCAACTATGGTAACAATAAGAAAATTCTGAAAAAAAAACGTAAGTGTATTCAAAACCACAGATATCGGTTAGTTACAAAAGTATTATTATTTTTACCTATACCTGTTTTAGTTACCTAATTAATTAGTTAGAAGTTAAACCTATATATTTTTTGGGTAAAGTACTTAGTTCGTGATCGAAATGGGATATTTATACATAGATAGCTTCCTGGTTTCAGTGATGATATAGTGACGTTCAAAATCAGCCACAAGATGAATAATTTTACGAATTCAGAACCTTGTCAATTTGTGTAGTCACTATTGCATTTGTTTTCTAGTAGCTATGCATAAAGATAGTCGTTACTTAGAGTATACCTTTTTAGACAACTAGTTGAAATAAATGATGATGAGTTATCTTTTTACAAATATTACTATTAGTATTTGTACTCCTAAATTCCTTTGCGTTCTGTTCTAATATATTGTTTAATACTTCAAACAATCGAATTGCCCTTCTGACCATCAGAAATTACCGTTTCTCTCTTTGTGAAGATGTGGTTATAAACCACCATCATGAAAATATAAGAAATGATTTTTTTTCTCGCCTATCATCTTTGCCGTTTCCTAAAGTCACAAAAACTTTTTTTATTTAAACACCTGTGCTTTAGTTTCCCAATCCATACCAATAGCACAAATGATACACATCACCAAAAGAGCTATGGAACCTATAATTCGAGTGTCATTCTCCGCATTGTCAATTATTTTAACACCGTGAGACTTTAGCAAATCATTAAAAGATTCGCAGAAACCAATGGTGTTCATACTGGCCGCGACAGAGTTGGCAAATGCGAATATTAAACCCACTGATGCACCCAGTTCTGCTCCTAATGATCTTGATACGAGAAAATATATCCCTCCTGAAATTAGAAAAGAATTGTCGAGTAAATACTCTCTACTTTGTCACAAGCGTTCACAGTATTAATGATTCAATGACTCCTTTCCCTCATAGGCCTTTTTGTGTCAAAATGTTGTATTGTGTGTAGTAGAAAAAAAAATGATTTTATCTTAAAAATAAATCATAGACAAATTATAAAAGGCTATTAACATTTTAAATACTTGTCAAAGGCAAATGTTAGTGAATTAATGGGAAATTTGTAGACAAAGTAATAAAAATTAGAATTATGTACAGACAATTTGGAAAACCTACAATGAAATGCTTTTAAGGTAAATGAACAGACGGGATTACATTACTTATTCAGATACTTATAAGCTAAATACCTACTCGCTGGAGTTCAAATCCTAAAATCATGGTCACAAGATTTAAATTACATACAAAAAACCATCATTAGGTGATTACCTCCTTTTAGTTGCCCATTAGTACAAATAGCGCTGAGTGACAGTGTAGTAATAACGCATACTACCCCTGAGATAAAAATGATTACAAGAGTGAAGCCAATGCCTGCCTGTGCCACGATCCATGCAATCCGCAGGAATAACATCACGCCCCAGATGTTCAGTAGGCATGGTATGAGTACACCCTGAATAAGAAAACAACACTAAAATATGAAACTACTTAACTGTTAAGTTAATATTATACATTACATACAATTAATATAATCATAGTTATCTTTTATCTTTGAGCGTTCTCACAACTCGCATGTATATTTAAAGTATCGCCAAGTCTTAGACACATTTCTTCATGGTACGACACCGAATGTTACTAACATTAGCGGAGTTCAGTGGACTATCAAAGGCTGTTGATATGATGTGATGTGAGATAGAATAAACTAAAAAAAATTAACTGAACGCTAGGATACGCGTAACATTTGAATCCAGTTATCTAGCAGTCCTGGGTAAGAGTGGATTCTGTACCTGACTTATAATTTAAGGACTTTTACTGCTTGCGCAGATTCTGAAGTTATTACCTTCAGAATCTGCGCTAATCTGATCTAAAATATTTAATATTTATAATGACACCCAGGGTGTCATTATAAATCTCGTCATCATCTCATCCTCATCCATACATTCATGAACTGTAAATCAATATGACATAATATTCTTGCTTACTTACTTGCACCCATCCTAACTTAATACCTCCGTATCTGTCCAAGTCTGGAGTAGGTTCCAAAAATGTGTTAGGTAGTGGTATCAAGCCCAGGCTCTGTTCCAATCTATCCTGCTGTAAAAATTTAATATGTAGATTTATTTATTTGTCAAAATTCCTACTTTACCTAGTACAATTTATTTATTTATTTATATAATTTAAGGATCTCCAACAAAGGATATACACAGTTGTTATATACACTATAAATACTTCACAGTAATCTTTCGGTGTACTCCCTCAATTATAGGAGACCACAGCATGCAAACATTAGTGACAAGTTATAATAAACCTATATATTACATACAGATCGCACATAAATCTAAATCATGAACACAATTTTGATGTAACTATAGATAGCTAATTAACATGTAGGCAGACAATATTACTAACATATCACTGCAAAATATTTTTTAAGGAACCTTTATATTTTAAAAATGAGATACTGAGATCTAGGTTTTTAGTTTTAGACAGCACATTATATTGCCTGCAGAGCCTAGGCACAGCGGCGTAGTGACCCAGGTTTGATTTTGCTGAGCGGACAGAAAATAGACTGTAAGCTCCTATCCTTGGTAGACGTGATGGTACATTTATAGATAGACTACTCATAAGCTCGTTGCAGTCTGTGTAACCATTGTACAACTTATAAAGAAAAATAGCATCAAGGTACTGCCTGCGGCTATTGAGTGTGCGCATATTGTAGTGTTTGAGCCTTTCGGTGTAGCTAGATAGTGTCTTAGCTTTATAGTCACTGTAGCAAAGGTGATAAAGAAACCGTTTTTGGACACTTTCAAGACGTTTATTGTACACTTCGTAATGGGGATTCCATACAATGGAGTTGTATTCCAACACTGGCCTAACTAGGAAATTGAATAAGAATATCTTAGTGCATGGGTTTTTGAAATCTTTACTACTGCGCAATACAAATCCCAGCAACTTAAACGCTCTCGCGACTGTATTAAGAATATGTATGTCAAATTTTAAACTTGCATCTATTGTAATGCCCAGGTCCCGAACTTTGTTTGTACTTTGAAGTGGAATACCATCAATGCTATACTTGTAGCCTTGTTTGTTTTTATTTCGTGTGAATTGTATGTGGAAGCATTTATCTATATTTAATGACATTCTATTATCGTTGCACCAGTGCGACAGTGAATCTATGTCAGCTTGTAACATTATAGCATCTGAATCCCTCCGTATGGGTTTCATAATTTTTAGATCGTCTGCGTAAAGATAGAAGTTGCAATGTTTGAAGCATGAAGATATATCATTAATGAAAAGGTTAAACAGAATAGGGCCCAAATGCGATCCCTGCGGCACACCCGAAGTCGCTGTATATTTATCAGAAGAGTACCCGTTCACTACTACTACTGACACTCTTCCGCAAAGATAAGATTCAAACCACCGTATCATAGGGTCCCCTACTCCTACTCTATTTAATTTTTGAAGGAGGATTAAATGGTCTACTTTGTCAAAAGCTTTACTAAAATCCGTGTAGATGGCATCCACCGGTACACGTTCATCTACACTCTCGCATAAACGGTTTGTAAAGCTGACCAGATTAGTAACTGTGGATCTAGATTTTATGAAGCCATGCTGAAATTCCGTGACATGCTGTTTTAAGTACCAAGAAAAGCGCTGTGTGACAAGCTTTTCAAACGTCTTACCAAAAATAGCTAGAATTGAAATTGGTCTATAATTAGTTATCAGGCTTTTATCGCCTGATTTAAAAATGGGTACAACCAGGGCTTCTTTCCACTTATTCGGGAAAATACCTTCCTTTAATGATTTATTAAAGATTAGGTTTAAAGGAAATACCAGTGCTTTAGCACAGCGTCTAACAAAGATAGGTGGAATGCCATCACTGCCTGAGCCCTTAGTTTCGTCTAAAGACATCAGAGCCCTAAGTATTTCATCATCCCCAAACTCAAGACTGCAAAAAACAGATGAAGGCGTGATAGTGTTATCGAGAGTGCGTATTTGTATAGTTTTTGTACATATATTGAAACATTTTGCAAAGTTTTCAGCAAAGAGGTTACATATATCACCGCCATTGGAGGCAACCTTGTCACAGAATTTCATTTCGGCGGGATAGGAACTACTACTCTTCCTTTTATTTTTGACAAATGACCAGAGGAGCTTGGGGTTAGACCTAATAGATTCTTCCATTTGATTCATGTATTTCTTGTAACAACACTTGAGGGCTTCAGTAAATCTATTACGTGACTGAATAAACATCTCATAGTCTAAGGGGTTGTGATGATTCTTATACCTTTTATGATATTTGTGTTTTTCTTTAAGTATACATATAAGGTCTCGCGTGTACCAAGACGGATATTTAGCACGCGTCGTTCTTTTTAAAGGAATATGTTGAGTAATTGTGTCTTTAAGTATAATATAGAATTCATTCAATATGTCATCAAGTGTGTCACAACGATTGAAAGTATTTACCCAGTCTATTGAATTTAAATGTGATAAAACTTTTCCGTAATCTGCTTTGAAAAAATTAGGTTTCTCTGTATATAGTGGTTTTAAGAAGGAATTAGTCGACGTTGGTAAACAAAACTCAAATGCCGGGTGTAAAGGATCTTCTTTTACCAAAGGAGAACTACTGCGATTTAAGTTAGACACATTTTTGTTGCTCAAAACCAAGTCTAATACCTTCGATTTATGGTTCAATATATGATTGCTTTGTTCTAAATCATTTAGGGTAATAAAATCAATAAAATTCGCATTTATTTCAGCACTATTTGTTGCCGGTTGCAATACCTGCGTATTACTTTTAGGAATCCAATTGATTCCACTCAAATTAAAATCACCCATGAGTATAGTATGATTCCCTTTATCAAAAAATTTTTGAGTATTGTTAGTATATAACTCCAATATATCCTGGTGCAATGGAGGTGGTAAATAAACAGCGTTTAGATAGAGTTTATGATGACTGCATCCAGAGGCATCTAAGTTTATACATACCCATAACTCCTCAAGCATACTCTCGAATTGGTATACTCGGTTTGATTTTAAGTTTTTGGATACAGCTATCAGTACTCCACCGCCATCTTTGCGGGTATTGTTTATAGTATCTTCTCGATCGCGCCTATAAACTACATAGTTAGAATCAAATAATTCTGAATCATAGACACCGCCATTAAGCCAAGTCTCTGTCAGGACTATAATATCATAATCACATAAAGCAATATTATGGCAAAATTGAGTGGTTTTTGTCTTTAGACCTCTTACATTTTGGTAATAAATATTAACTGAATTGTTGAATGTTACAGTTTATAACACAAATATCATGCAACCATAAACACAATTTATGAACATAGGATTATTCTATTTAAAAGACTTTAGTTTTTCTAAGTTATTAATTACGAAAGTTTCCGATGACTCACATTTCTTCATCAGTATCCTACCGTTACGAACCCAGACGAACTTGAAGCCGAGTTCTTTAGCACGAATGCGCGAGGCTGCGTGCAGAGCTTTGTTTTCGGACGAAAGATGCTCGACGACATAAATTGGAAGAGGTTTATCTCCACCGATGCCTAAGTGACTGGTGTTCAGCTTTTTATTCGCATTCGTCCGGTTATACTTCATGGTTGCAGCAAGGAAGTTATCTCGTAATCGTGGGTTAGCGAACTTAACCAATATAGAACGTGGTCTGATAGTCTGTGTATCTTTTTTAGCAATCCTAGTACAGAGTTGTATGTCAGTATCTTTGATTTCACATTTCACTACTTTACTCAGCTGCATTATTGTATTTACTAAATTTTCTGACCTATTTTCTGGTACGGATTGTATTTCGATGTTGGCGGACCTAGCATGTTGTTCTAATAGGTTCATACGTTTCGTGAGTTGGTTTACATTATCAGAAAGCGTACTATTTTCTTTTTCTAGCTGCAGTATTTTTGTGGATCGATCCTCAAGAATAGCCTTCATGTTTTCGTATTGCTCGTTAAAGAAAGTTAATGACTGCTGAAAACTTGTGACCAGATCATTAATTTTTTTGAACTGTTCTGTGACCAGTACTCCTATGGCGCACTCAATTTCTTGCCTTACTATTTCTCTCAACGCCCTACCTGTAATTTCCATTACTGTGTCATCGCTGCTTAAGTTCGACGCTTCACCTTGTTGTTTCTTATTGCGTTTGGTAACGTTATTTGAAAGTAATAGCAGCTATTGGTATGCTCAATTAGGTTCCAAGCTTTCGTACGAAACGATTATTTCTTGGCACCTGGTTGGTCACCTGCATACATCTTCCTATGATACAACAAAAGTATTCTTTTCTTTCTCAACGTTTTACAGATGGGAGGCTACAATAATGACGGTACCAAGGTGTATTTTATCGTTATCATAACAAACAAAGTTGTGTTGTGCACTCGGGTTATGGATGATAGAGCTAAGTACAACCATCTCTGTCGTGTCTATGAAGCTAGCGTAGCCTAGTCATAGGGCCCTAATAAAACTTACACCACATTTTTTTTGCTAATTATTTGCAATTTTTTTGTCAAAAAATTGATGTTTTTGCCAAAGCCATTTTCAAATTTCTGCCTCAATGAACAACGATTGCCTAAATTATGAAAGCTAGAATTGCTCTCTTTTGCAGTACAAAAATAGTTTGAATGTCGGCAGCATTCCCCCGTAGAATGTAGGAAGAATACCGTGCGACATTATGCTATGAAAATAACTGAAGTAAACAAGTCGTGCTGTATCCACATCAGTCAACTCTCAAATTTTCCTTACTGCGTATGCTGCTGAGCTGAGTCTACTCGATAATTTATCAATATGTGGTGTAGCTGGCGTACCCCTTCCTATATCACCGGATCTCTTACACTTGTCAAAACAGGCTTTGTGGCATATTTTTTTGCTAATTATTTGCTAATTTTTACCACAGAATTATTTATTTTGCGCACGCACGCTTGTTTGAGGTATAGCACACCTTACGCTACACATGTCGACTAATCACCTAATTATCGTTTGACTGATCCGTACCTAATTCTGTGGTAAAAAAATAGCAATAATATTGATAGGTGTAAGAGATCCGGAGATATAACTATGGCTACGCCAGCTATGCCGTTTAAAGTCTAAAGCAGGACCTTTGTTTTTTGGCAAAAAATAGCAAATAATTAGTAAAAAATATAATGTATGTTTTATTACACCCTATGACTTGGCTACGCCAGATTTTTAGACACATCTCTGTGTATGAAAAAGTGTCCGTCAAAAAGCATCGAATTATGATGGCGCTACGGTAGTAAGTTGTTTGAGTAGGATAATAAATGTTTAAAAAGTCACAAATCATTACTTAACATCATAGAGGAATTTGTGTATTTATGTATGGACCTCTGTTTGTATGAATTTACATATTTTATATGTATTTGAGTGTTGTATATTAGTTACATATATTTATTTTTTTCTTTTTTTCAATTGTTGTAATAGTACATCGCAGGCTACCCTATTGTTTTTGACTATATCCGTATAAAGCTTGTCTGTAAGACATCGCTGTGATTTAAAAAATGTTACCCAGCATGGGCAAATGCAGCGACGCGACGGTAGGCGATGTAAATACCAGCACGCTAAAAAACAATTTAACTTTGCGTCCAGGTCTCTTAAAAGAGTCATTGACGAGAGACGAAATCGGAGCCAGTTTGGTGAGAGACTGGTAAAACCCAGTAAATAAATAGTATAAGCTCTGCTCAGTTTGAAAGTAGATGGCGTTGTGTGTCAGATGTCCGAAAAACATTACGGAATCTAAGCCGCAAGTATTCCTTGTTTATACTTGATGATTTTCTAAAATCACAGAATCGCATAGGTTGCCGTTTCTAACAAATGTCACATTGGTTTCTGACTGTGGTACTTGCCCTTTCCAATTTTCAATTTAAGTCGGAAGTCAGAAAAAATAAGTTCCACTAAGAGTAAATCTAGATAACATTATTTTTTTCGACTCACGATAAGAACTGTCAATCGTCACGCAAACTGTATTATTAGTATATATTAACAGTATATATTAACAGTATGATATTATATGAAAGCAAATTTAACCTAAACCTACAATTAACAACTCACAAATCACTAAATAATGAGATCTCAACATGGAAACTGTGTATAAAGTAAGCAAACATTTGCTCAATAAGAAGCAGATGCCAGTGATTCCACCTCCATATCACATGTTATAGTGATGATGTAAGGCAACAAAATTCAATGATATAAATATGATTCACTAAAAGGTAGGTTTAATGTTTTTTATTCTCTTACCCTATTTCTATTCGTAGGCATCCCAGTGTTCGGCTCTGTAAAATTGTATTTCTTAAAATAAATTTGATTCAGACATTGATTTTCTTATAAATTACGCGCCAATAACAAGGTAGTTTAACGCACTGTAAAAAATCAAAAGTGCCCGCTTGCTTAACGCACAGTTCGTGTGAATAGTCAACTTTCAGAAACGATTCTGTCTAGGTAATTACCCCACTTTGCTTTCTTATTATTATCCTTTATTTCAATCCTCTTATAGTGAAAAAAAGTAACAATTAATAAAGATTATATGAAACTTTGAGACTGAGACTATAAAATAATTATTTTTACATTAAGCTTACCTGATTGATCAACATTTTTACGTGAATTTCGTTTTTGTAAGTTGGACTTTAATGCTTCAAAGTATTTAAGCAGTTTTGCTATGTCGTAAATAATACAATTTTATATTTCAATTTATTTCGATTGCCTCACAAGCTATGGGAAATATTTATGTTACATTATTAATTTACTCGTTAATTTTAGTAAACTGTCGAAGAATTGTCTACTTGAAGTATATAGATTTTACATCTATCAATGCATGGAGAAGATTTTTCTATAGTTTTTGTCATCTTCATAAACATCGCGCATAGAGGTTTTTACATAGTAAATAAGAAAATCGGGTCACGGTGAGCATCTAATGGGCTGAAAAGTCCCGGGCCTAACAAAGAAAACACTGTTTTTTTGGTTCAAAATTAGCTTTAATCATCAACGTAGTCTCCATTAAGAGCAACGCAATCATTCCAGCGCCACTCTAACATTTCAATACCACTTTTGTAGAACGATTTATCTTTTGCCTCAAAATAGGCCTCAGTTTCAGCGATAACCTCTTCATTCGTGCGAAATTTCTTACCGGCGAGCATTTTTTTCAGGTCTGCGAACAGCCAATAGTCGCTGGGAGCCAAATCTGGCGAATACGGTAGATGTGGGAGCAATTCGAAGTTCAATTCATGTAGTTTTGCCATTGTTTTGATTGTTTTGTGACACGGTGCGTTGTCTTGATGAAACAAATTTTTTTTCTTTGCCATATGCGGTCGTTTCTTTGCAATTTCAGCCTTCAAACGCTCCAATAACGCTATATAATATTCACTGTTAATGGTATTTCCTTTCTCAAGATAGTCGATGAATATTACACCCATTATCCCAAAATATCGAGGCCATAATCTTTCTAGCCGATTGTTGTGCTTTCGGGCGCTTTAGACGAGGTTCACCCGTTGCTGTCCACTCAGATGACGATCGTTTTGATTCCGGAGTGAAGTGATGGATCCATGTTTCATCCATTGTCACATATCGACACAAAAATTCCGGTTTGTTACGTTTAAACATGGCTAAACACTGCTCAGAATCATCAACACGTTCTCGTTTTTGGTCAACAGTGAGTAAACGCGGCACCCACTTTGAACAGAGCTTTCTCATAGTCAAATTCTCATGCAATATAAAGCCAACACATTATTTGATATCTTTACGATGTCAGCTAACTCACGCAACTTCACTTTTCGATCATTCAAAACGATTTTGTGGATATTTTTTATGTTTTCTGGTGTTACCGCCTCATTTGGTGATCATCGGTGACTCTACGACCACGTTTGAGTCAGCAAACCAACGTTTTATTGTTGTTTCTGATGGACCGGAGTCCCCATAACACTTTTCAAGCCATTGTAAAATTAAAACACGAAATTGTTTTTGATCCATTGTTTTGAAAATAACAAAAGTAGCGTCACTCTTGGCACAATAACTCACAAACTAATGAATAGAATATCATAAAATTCTAACAGATGTCTTTTGAAGATTAGTATTAACTGAAAAAAGGTGACTGCAGTAAAACTAACGCCATGTATGTGTTAGGCCCGGGACTTTTCAGCCCATGTAATATAATACGTTTCCGTATTTTCCGATTAAATCAACCTTCAGAAGTTAGGTGGAGTATCCATCTAATTACTGTCAAGTTATTATAATAAACCTCCTATAATAAACCTCCTTTCTCCGGAGAGACTTATGTCCAGCAGTGGACTATTAAAGGCTGTTGATGATATTATAATAAGTTTAGTTTAGTTTTAGTTTAGTCCAATAGTTCATTTCAATAAATACCAACCCTCGCAAGAAATAAAAGAAGGCCGTTATTCATTCATTCCGATGTCGTCGCCATCTCACTTCTTGAGGAACTTACTAAGAGGTTGCAAGCTCAAGTTACTACTATACCCACCAAATACTGGCTGGTCCTTGAAGGACAATCAGAGATGTGGGAAAAATGGGTAATGAACATAATAAATATAAAAAGCGCTGCCATTTGGCGAAAAGAAAATTGACTTTATTACATAAAAAGTTCATTGTCTTTATTTAGGGGTTGCAAAAAGAATACCATTTCAAGCATTCATTTGTTTTGTACTATTTAAACATTATATTACATTACTTATCTTGAAATGAAACCTTTTTGTTCAGCTTATTTAATACATTTTGACTAAATAAATATAACTAAATTTAATTAAATTAATAATAATACTAATTTTCACATGAAATAAAAACAAAACTTAAAAGAAAACTAAATTTAATTAATAGGTCATTTGTAATAAAGTAAACTCCTTGGGTAACTGAAGCGGCTGCTTATTCTCTTCTGGCACCTCCTAACTTAAAATACTTCAATAATTTAAATAGAAAGTAAATAATACAATTTTTAGCTTTGGTATAGGTTATTTATTAACAGTGTAATAATGATGATGATATCCTCTACGTTAACCAAATTTATCCAAGTTATAAATAAAAAAAATACCTGTACGTTATTTGATTTATACATATTTATAACCGTTCAGCAACAAATTCCTATTGTTTTAACTATGTAGGTACTGTGAAACAAATTGACGGGCCTGTCGTGGCTTCGATTCCCACTCAGGATAAATAATTGTATGATGAGCACGATGATTTATTCTGTGTCTGGGTGTAATTTATCTACGATATGTATGTATTTAGAAAATATATTAGTATGTTTATCAGCAGTCTGATTACCGTAGCACAGGCTCTGCCTAGTTTGGAATCGTCTGATTCCAAACTAGGTAGAGCCTGTGTGTGTCGGCCATGTGTGAGATGTGTGAAATTATTATTTTTATTTACTGTGTAGTTTTGATTTTAAGTTACATATTAAGTAAGTTTTCCTCCATATATTAAGTTAATTATGATAAACATATAAATTAACTCAATAATACGGGAACATACGTTGTAAAGTATTTCTATAGCCGTGTTTAATTAAACATGTCCCCATGTTAAACGGGTATGTCACAAAATGTAACAGGATATTAAAATAATCTTCCTTCTCCTTAATATTTGGTACGAATAGTAGCGGAGCAAAGAATTGTTTCTCAGTAAATATTTACATACACAATTGTGTGCTGAAAATCTTTGTTGCTGAGGTAGTATGAAACGAGAATAAATAATCATCTTTAGAAATAATTACGGTAAGTTTGCTTCTACTTATCCGCAACTATTATGTCTGCTTACTTAAATTTACATTATTATTACAACATCATACAATCCTAAGTAAAATGCTGCATCCTTTTACAATTAAAAGTACACTTAACAATAGCTTCAATGAACTAACCAAATAATAACTATTTTTTAATATTTTTCTAAATCTTATTTTTTATTAGGCATATTTTCCAGTTTGGTAGATCTATGAGATAGATCTATACATAAAAAAAGATACCTGTGATCCAATATGCACGGTACAGGAACAGAAAATAAGGCTTTAGACGCAGAATCCTGCTTAAGTATCCGTTATATCGCCCTTTTCATCAGATCCTTGCTGACGTAAACAGTTTTAGTTGTAGATCAATTATAGATAATGGCCTATATCAATATAATCTATGGTGCTATATTAAAACATTAAAGTGTTTTGCTAAATTCTAAATTGGTTGCTACTGTCGGTGATTTATCGATATGCTGAAATTGTGCCAAGAGCGTTATCAGTATGAGGTGTTCATGTCGGTCTACTACCACTATGTCTAAGCAAGAACATTTTTTTTTTGCCTCCAATAAAAGAATAGAAATAACATTATAGCAGTATGGCACTTCGATATTAGAGGTTCGATTTAACCTAAATTGGATTACTTGATGTGTCTCATTAAAGTGTATAATCTTTATAATGTATTTTACAAACAATTATGATAATTTGACATTCTAATATTACATGACATTTTAACATTGAATAATAATAATATTCATTTTACAATAAAGCTAAAGACTATTAATAATAACGTAATTGGTATATTACAACGGGACTCACAGTGATATCCTTCTACATAAAACAAAATTTTCAGTATACAGTAAACAATTAGATTATATCGTCATGGATAGAAGCTTTGCAATTCTGCTTGTTTTCCTAAAACACCTTTATAATATAGAACCGATTTCCTTGGCACCAATAAACTTAACATTTTTACTGTTAATTATACAACACACTTGTCATAACAAAATATAATGTGTGTCGTGAGTAAAGTTATATGTGACGTATGAGTTACAATTAAATGCAAATGTGGCGATTACACTACATAATACGCTAAAACATTAGGATATCGGTCAAATACTGTTTCAACTGTTTATGAATAAAAGGTTAAAACGGAGGTGTGGTTGCCTCGAACGAACAGCATGGGAGGTAAGTCACGAGACAATACTTCTAGCCACGCCATGTACAGAGGAGCTGACACCGAATCCTGGAAGCAAGATACTTGAGTTACTCCTTATTTCTTGTGACAGCATGAGTTTTGTAGATATCTGTTCATTGTAGATCAATAGCTGACAAGTCAGTCAGATGTGACAAATTAAGTTTGTTTTGTTTTTTGTTCTTTTTTTTAAAGACAACTCCCGCCTAGGAATATATCCTGTGTCGCGGGGGACTTTACAAACATACATGAAACGGACAAAAAAGACCACCCAGACACAGAATAACAGTTGTAGATCACACAAAATATCGTCCCATGTGGGGATCGGACCCACAACACTCAGCGCAGTCTCCATCCGTGTGTATGAGATAGTCTTAGCCTTCTTAAATGTTAAGTACAACTGCACTTTATTAAATCAAAACCAAATAACTGGTCTACCTGTTACATGTTAACCCTGGATTTAAGAAAAATGAAGCTAAAACTTCTGACCATGACAATACTGTGACTGTGAAACAAACTGTGAAGTAATAAAATTGTATTTGGACTTTGACTTGACATCAAAGTAAACTATTTGTTTTTATTATGTGTAAAATTTCGTTAATAGCAAAAAAAGTCAAATTAACAAAATACCAACCTTTCTTGGCATGGGCAGCGACATGACCACCAATCTCGAATCTTTGGAGTTGGCAAGTAAAAGCTCACGCAGGCGTAACTGACGCTTAGTCTTCTCAGCCAGCGTAAGCAATTCTGTCTCACTAATACGGCAATCTACACAATAAAATCATGCATTTCATTAAAAAAGTCATAATTGGCTTCTGTATTAGTGATTTTGATTAGGGTAAGTTACAGATCTTCGGTAAACTTAATATTTTCATTTTTTTACTATATTTGACATATAAATGTGTAAGTTACCTTCGTCAGCGCTTTCAGTAGTAAACTTTCTGGTTATATCTTCGAACAGTTTAGTGGTTTCAGGCTGTGGAGTCTCCGTGATATCTTGCACCATTGTCAGTGATGAATAGTCTATCCTGAACTTCGCTAGTAAGTTAGCCATACTACAAACCAAAAAATATCTAAAAATTAGTTTACATCTTCAGTATTTCCTATACTATTAGCATATTTATATATATATCAACGTATTTCAAAAGTGTCTTACTAATCAGTGACCTCAGATTAAAGATTATTTAACGCACTCAGCCTCTTAACACTTCTCTATGTTACTATTTGAGTAAATTTCCCTCCCGGTTTTTTTCAATACAAAATAGATACAAATTAGATTAGAAAAATTGTCTTACTTTCTCTCTTCTAGTTCCATCTCGTGTCGCCGATTGGCGAGCGCAAAAATTCGAAGCTTGCAGTTAGACCAGGCGGAGCGCTGAGAGATAATGTATGGCAGCAAGATCGTGAGACCGCCATCATCATACAACCACCACACGTCCAGTGTTCCTGCCTCCTGTTCAACAAACAATTTATTAAATTCAGATGTTTTAAGGTATATACATATATGTTAACTTTAATCAATAGTTCACAGACCCACTGTTACGTATTGTTGAACCCTTGAGTCTCGTAGATGTTAAAAGGGTTGCTACACTTATTAAAACACTTAATAGTAAACTATAAATTGAATTAATAAAGAAGTGTATAAACTAGAATTATATAAAACTATTACTATCTTTAAGAATCTACATAAAACAAAAAACAAGAACTAATTAAGATCGTATTATCACCTGCTTCTTTTGGAACATGCTCATTTGTATAAGCTGTTCTTTGGATAATTCGAGTCCTGTAGAGGTTTTGTACACGATCTGCCTATGCATATCATTTGACTTCTTATCTTTCTTCTTCCTCTCCCTTGTATTACATTCTGAGACTGTAAACGATCGTGATGACGTCAATAGACCTGGAATAAAGGCAAATTAAACACAATGTCTTTAAACATCCTGAACTATTTCCTAATAAGTTGACAGTCTCTGTTTTTCCTGGTTTACAGTAATGATAGTCATTAATTTCACGTCATTATTCACATAACAATAAAACTTAACAGTAATTTAAATCCAACCAAAAAGATTGTCTGCACTTTCAAAATTGCACTGTCAAAAGTTATCAGATCTATAATTCCTAATTTCACAAACTCGACACCTTAGTCAAAATATGTAGTTTGGCCGTTTGCACTTCTTTTTGTAACTTTCTTAAGACAATACTTTTTTTTCTTTTTTTCTTTTCTTTTTTTTGTGTATTTCTTGCACATTAGAGGTGCTTTTATTCACAGCCAACTCTTTATCTTTGCCTTTTCATCAATTTTAGCATTCTTCTAGCATCTAGCATTCTACCTCGGGCCATCTACTGTGGGTAGATGACCCCCTCCTATGTGTACGAACCCCCATGTTCTCTTTATGCTCCCAAAAGGGCGCGTCTCGCCATCACTCTGGCCTGCTTCTGCTAGGGTGACAGATGGCCTCACCTGTCACCCCCAGGCCTGCGCTTATGGAGGACGGAGGTCGTTCTGCAACCTCCGGTGCCTGAGCTTGCGGTACCTGGCCCGTTCCTGAGCCCGGCGGGCCGGAAGAGTTCTAACCCACTCCCGGTCCCGCTCCGCCATTTCCTTCGCAAGCATAACTTGCTCACAGAAATGGGCGGCGGAGTTCCACGCATCCTCGCTCCGCACCATGGCCGCAATTATGTTACCGAGCGTTTAGGAAGTACCCTAAAAATTTTGATAATCATCAGTGATTCAGTGACGACATCGATTTTTTTTAGGTGTCAATAAAATCTAAAGTACGAGTTTAAGAGCTATGCGATTGAAACTTTATGTGTTTAATAAGTCCACTCATAGCTCGAAAATTTTGTTTATCTGGTACAAACCGAACCCAAGTTATGCGGGTTAAAAAAAACGACGAAGCCCGTCTAAGCAGGGGCACTACCGTGCCCCTACAGGGAGTTTTATACGTAAAATAAACAATAATTAGAAGAATCCTGTTATTACCTTTGGTAGTTATGAGAACAAAACAGCTGTACAAAAACAACTTACTGGATAGATTGTTCCTAGATCCTGGTCCTCTGCTAATATCCAGGTCAGAATCAGCATGCATAATGAGTGGATCTCGTCTGACTCTTAGTTCATCTGCACTACCGCTCGACGTTCCCGTTAGAGAGCTAACTGGTGCCGTCTCTGAACTGAGTACACCGTAGTCTAACCCGCCCTGGACGCGAATTATGGCGACTGCTAGACGACTTTCAAATGCAGAGCTAGAAGAAATGTAATAATAATAATAATAAATATATTTATTGGTCCAAAGGTGTTACAACAGTAAAACTAGCAGACACAATTGATATTTACAGTATTATACGCTAAAGTTCTAAAGTTACAAAATATTGTTGTATATTCAAAATTTGAACCATGTCTTTTAAACTAGGCTACGCCTGTATCTTAAGAGACAGGTTACGGCTCTAAGGAATTACAATAGTGTGTCTCGTTGGGCATTGAGACGATGAAGACACCGTTGATTGGATGATGACCGTATGTATAATATATACCAAAGACAGTTTGAGTTAAATGTTACTAAATATATATTTTATTAATGTAATGTACATAGTTAGTAGAGTTAAATTAAGTAAGTATAGCATCAGCAAAGAATATATGTATTAATATCAGTTGTCTAGTACCCATAGTACAAGCTCTGCTTAGTTTGGAACTAGATGGCGTTGTGTGAATATGGTAGAATATTTAAAAAAATATAAAAAAATCTAAATATTAAAATTCTAAGCATATCTGTTATTTTATATACGTAGTGATTTAATATTCATAAAAAAAGAAAAATATACGGTACGGTACGTTTGTGTAAACGTAAGAAAAAGTAGGAGGTGCACTCACTGTAGGATATTGAAGTATGCTACTAGCTCCTGGGCAGAAGCATCTGGCCAGTCTTGCTTGTAGCCCATGAGTAACACATTGGGAGCCAACTTGCCAACTCCTACGGCCTGCATAAGCGCACGCGCACCTTCTTCACGCCCGAAGCCGTGCACTCGCGCACAAAAAGCTCGTACCTTGCGCCCACGGAGCCAGTCATCATCCGCGCGAGCACGACTTGCACGTTCTTTGTAGGACAGCTTTTCCTGCAGGAAATTAATCTTTTAAAACTTGTTTAGGAAATTCTCACAAAGGATTGCAGCATTTTCAAGAATAAAATATATATTTAGTAACATTTCTTAAAAAATTGGTTGCCTGTAAAGTCGGTATACGGGCGAAAGTTTTACGTGACAACGACTATGTCTGTCTCTCTCGCTCTTAGGCGGGCTAACCATGCCCGATTGGAAGGGACGCGTGCCTCTCACTCGCTCTCATTGTGAGCGCATAACGTGAGCGGAGCGTAACGCAGTTTCTTGAAGTGTCACCCGGCAAACCAATTTATAAGACGTTGTAACGTCAAAAATAAACTTATAATTCATTCTATACAATTTTATCTACTAACCGGTGATATATCCCCAATAATCATAAGTGCACCAGACTTCGTAATGAGACTGCCAAGATCTATCAGCGCAGGTCTAGTTTGAGGTCGGCCAGCCAACACCAACATTTGAGGCCAATAATTTTTTACGTGTTCTCCTGTACGAGCTAGATTGTAAGCACTGGACAAAGCATTCTTGTAGATTTGAGCTTGAGTGCTGCTACCCCAATTTACATCTGCAAAAATCATTAGGCACATACTATAGGTTTTTGCTATTAGGTACAATCTTCCGAACCTAGACCTAATACACTTGCTTGTTGACATAAAACTAATAAATTAAGAGGAGATGTTATTTATAACTATAACTTAAATATAAAGCTTCTTTTGACGATAACCTCTGACTATATGTGACTTTTAAGACAACATTTGTACTATCAAAATAAAGATTTGCACAAACATTCAGCTTATTCTGTTAGATTCCGGGGTAAAACCCTATTGAAGCTATCTTTACAGAGTTCATAGCCTGACATTATTAGACATTGACTCAATATCGAGGCCTAATATTAAAATTCAGCTGTTCTGTAAAGTAATTAAATATATAGGCCTATATATGTAAATATATAGGCCTCTCCTTAGAAAGAAGGTTTTGGCCTACTATACCACGCTGGCTAGGAGAGGCCTATGTCCAGCAGTGGACTATTAAAGGCTGTTGATGTGATGATGTGATGTGTAAATATATATGGTGTGATAAAGCTTATAACACAGAAAACAATAGCGTAACTATTAGCTAAGACTATACTATTAGATCGGCCTTGCATCAAGTTGTACTAGTAGCCGACTGGAGGCCAAAATCATGATAGCGATATGTTTAAATGTGCCCCTTACAATTTTGTGCGGAATTCTAGAAGTCACGCCGAATTACTCAAAAACTTCGTCGGCCAATACATGTATAAGTAGATATATATATACTCGTATATTGTCTTCGTATGTCGTTTCTCGTCGGTGAACATATGAACTACTAATGTAAGCATGTACATATATCCAATATATATTCTTCTTATAATGTAACCTCAATACAAATCAATACAAAGTTACGTATGATATTCATGTTATTAATTAAGAAAAACTTAACTATTGTTCCAAATTAAATCAAAGCTCCATTTCAGTTTCTAATTAGTAACGAATTTCTAATTATATCTTGGATTTTATTATAATAATGTGCTTTTATAAGTCAACAGTAGATAGTAGGTAGGTACATACTAAACTGGTAGAGCGATAGGCAAAATAAACTTAAAACATACAATTTTATGGTTTTAAACCGTAACTTACATAAAATATTTCTAGAATATTATTAATAGAAGAGATCCGTGCCAATATCTAAAGTATTCAAATTATTATAACTTTAGGAAGTGGGACTATAAACAAACAAACGTTTGCGATATGAATCAAATGAGTACTATGAGCAGGATTAGGAGAAAATGATGCAATCACCCTGAGTTCAATACCGATTTAGATTCAAATCAACATTGGCTATTCCAGTTGTTCATTTTGCCAGTTTGGTTTAAATCGCAAAACTACTATTTCTTATATAATACACATATGTTTTTCAAAAACTCACTCAACAATGTACTGTGAATAAACATCACAATATTAAAAAAAAATGTTACACCTATTCTAAAGAGAGGTACCTTCCACAAATACCTGAGAGTACCTACATTTTACATGTACACATAAAATGATATTTGTTTTATTTTGGACTGTAAGTATCGACGAAATGATGTGTAGTTGGATGATTAGTTTGTACTTTGTGTTATTTTTAGATACATTAATATAGATATTTATATTAAAAATTATCGTAATAAACACACATCAAACTTTGTACAGTAAATATATTGAGGCCTTTTAGTCTGTATTTCATAGAGCCCTGCGTCGAGCTCTTTATCAAGACTAAAAATAAGGTCATATAAGAGTTCATACATCTAAATAAAATTATATACTAACCGGGTTCTCTGTAGTGCACGATGAGGTAGAGGGTGAAGAAGATGGCAAAAGTGACGAGAGACATCACCCAGCTGATTAGCAGCATGATCGCTACGCAGCTCAGGAATCCGATCAACGAGAGCCACAAATTATAGTACTGCAAAATTCATTAGGTGATTATATTAACTAGTAATCATCGGTATATCAATGTAAGATGCTTAAGTAAATGTATCACTAAGTACTGCTAAACTGTACTTTTACCCAAAAATCAAAAGTGGTTGAATGTAACACCGCGGGTACATTCATTTTACCCAAAATTTGAAAGTGGTTGGATGAGACACCGCAGGATACTAAATTTATACGGCATTTTAATAAAATGATAATAATAAATGTTGAAGTAAATAAAATATACATGCAATAAAAATAATCCACATCAAATCACTAGTAATAGAAATAGACAAGCCAATTGATGAACTCTTCTAAGTAATATCAAGGTCACATCGGTCATTTCTATATTTATCTATTGGTCCGGTTATATCTATTAATGATTACAAAAACAATTGATGTCGGAATCATTTTTATACAGCGCTATCTTGACTCATAATAGACATACCTTGTACTAACTTTTCTAGATCACGGATAAACATAAATAGTCTTTTTCCTTACAAGAAAAAAGTCTATCTAGTATACGTACTAATTTTACATAGAAACACCCATACTACTCGAACTGAATCGAGCTTGCGACCATCATCGTGACTGTCGAATGCCAAACCGCCAAGCCAGGTAGTGTATGAAAAACGGAAAGTCATTCGAGAATGCCTTACCCTGAATGTAGGTCGCCAGCCGAGCGGGCGAACCAGCGCAGCGTGGAATGTACAGAAATTGATCAGAGCATACGATGCCAAGTAGAAGTTCGATATCAGAGGCGCTATTGTGTTCAGGTCAGCTGCGATATAAAATACAAAATATTTACTAGGAACACGTTTTCATAAATTTAATTTAAAAAACTTAAAGTGTAGCTATGCACTATTTAAAATGTACGAAGTGAGGACAGAATATTATTTAAAAAAATCAAAACTCGATTTAAAAATAATTTATTTAAATTAAAATATCATCATCATTATCGTCAAGTGAACAGAAAATTCTAGGGCATGATTGCAGTACCTGTCCTTGTCCACTCTACAGTTTATAGGAGCCACAAACGTAAGTTATTAGGTTTTAATTTCAACTTAATACCTTTATGTATTTGTGAGAAATTCATCAGTTTAGTTAAGCTAGTCTTAACTAAACGGATGAATTATTTTAAACAGTACAACTCGGAGTAAATGAATTCATTTATCCCGAGTTTTAAACGGTTGAAATATTTAGATTTAACGGGATAAATATGAATTATGTAGTGATCCTATAAGGGTCCTATCTATATGTATGAAAATATCCGTAAGGGTTATCTTAAAAGTTGCAAGTCTAAAACAAACAAACAAAAGAAAAAACATTAATGAACAAAAACTCACCAATGAGCAAAAACAGCAAAGAAACCAAGAAAGTAAGAACATATCCTCGGTAGGGCTCGCCATGCTTGCCATATGGCTTGGAGAAGAAAATTAGTCCGGGATATATCCGGTCCGAACCCAAAGCCTGGATCAACCGCGGAACGGACAGTAGATTCGTCAAAGCCGTAGATAGCGTTGCCGCCCAGCAACCACCATAAATAAATGGGCCCCATGCTGACATTAGCTGCATTACCTGCAGATAAGTATTAAATCCTGTTTATACTAAATAGAGAAAAATAACACCGGGTAACACCGTTACATAAGCTGTTCTAAACATGTAGAATATATATTTATATATATCGAGCGAGTTTCAGAGTAGTTGCTTAAAGTGTGGAATATCTGACTTCTCCCCGCCCATCTGATGGAGAACTCAAATCGCACTATGCGCGCTTCGTCGGTTTTGCTGTAACATACTAGCGTCTTTTCACGTAATCACTTTCTTTTCAAAATGATGTGTTTATCTTTTAACATTGTATGCTGTAGGATATTCCGCACTTGTGTTATTCTGTAAATCCGAAAACGTTTTAACATAGTTTTTATATTATTTCTATTGACTAAAAGAAGTCTTACTGAATAGCTATTATGTAGTCCATATTTGCAGGTATCGTTCATCACACAACTCCCAAGCCCGCTGTAGTCAAGTACGGTTCCATTCATAACGACTAAATCCGTGAGGTTTCCAGATGCATCTCTGAGAGCTCCACTTCCGGCAAACAATACCATGAGAGCGTAGCTCACCATTGATATGAGCAGAGCTAGTAGAGTTCCCTTAGGGATGGCTGATGCAGGGTCCTAGAAAAAGGAAATTTCTTATCGTGATATATGAAACGGTACTCTTGGATACACATACGCGTGGTGACGGATTCGAAATACCGAGTGTCACCACCACTATTCATCCTGTGAGTGTCATAAGAGCCGACTAAGGGAGCAAACTACGCAGGGCAATAGTCCTGTAAAGAGAAGGAAAACTTGGCACAAACCCAATACCAACCCGTCTGGCCAGCGTGGTATGCGTGATTGGTGGGTGGGTGATTGATGATGTGACTCTTCGATAAAATTTAAATGTCTGTGTAGGTACCCTTACAATCTCTCGAGTCTCGAATCTTTACGCATACTTATGAATATAGCAGCTTTGTACTCTATTGTTTACTAGCTAATTTAATTATAGTATTAATTTCATAGAGAAATATTAATATTTACTAAACTTCACAATGGTGTCAAAGAATATGTAGTAATAAAACAATTCCATACCAAAATCAATAAATCTATACAAATAAATAAAATTGAAGTGTCTGTTTGTAATGTCAAAACAATAGGTCACACAGCTATTTCCACGATTCCTATGCCCAAAAACCAGTTTTGATTTTTTTGTCTATAAATTATAATAATATTTTAACAGGTAGCTGTCTATATACAGAGTAACTTAGGCTATTTTTCTCCTCAGAAAACCCTATAAAGTTTTGCCCGGTCCAACTAATTAATAACCACCAACTAATTTCATCATCACCAGCCTTTAGTAGTCCACTGCTGGACTGGCTAAGTGGCTAGGCCTCTCAATACAATACCATTCTGGCCAGACGGGCTGGTATAGGGGTTGTTTCAAGCAATACTTCTCTTTGCAGTGCTGTTTTCCAAAAGTAAAGTTCCATATATCTCAACATCTTTTATTGAGAACAGAAATTAACTGAAATAGATCTATTAAATATTTTTCAACAACAGTCGTTATCAATTACTTCTCTAGGTTTTATTGCATCTTCAGTTCGTTTAATGATTGCAGGAATAGCAGTGACTCAGAGCAAACACAGCTTCAATTGATTTTAATGAATGAACAACTGGCCATTCTCAGTAACAAAATACCGAAAACATGCAGGGGTTAAACAATTTGACACCCTGTTGGGTTCATTTCATTTGATTTGTAACACAAGAGATACATTTAAATAAGTTATGTATTTACATCGATGTATGTTGATAAATCTCTATTTATTTTGACACTAAATACCTATGCAGATGATTACTCTAGTCTTTTTTACGTTACATTTACATAAAGAATAAGGACGCATATAAATAGACATAAAAAATTACTTTCCTTGTGCTCTTATATATAGAATGTATAATCATGATGGAAATAGTAAACAAAGATCAATATAAGTGTATAAGTGTATACATAACCCGTTGGAAAAGTACCGACGTCAATACGTAGCTTTAAATTATGGAATGGTACTAGAAGCGATTTTAAAATCAACTTCAAAGAGCTACTAGTTACTTCTCTTTGAGTAATAAAAATAGCGAATTACCGATTCCGTGTCCTTAGATGCATTTTTCTCCCCTAGTCAGTTACCTTTGACGTCAGAACAATAGTGACGTAGGCTGATAGACATTATCAAGGACTGAACTGACACCCTTTTTAATGAGCTAATCGTTTGTCCCATGATGCACTTGCACCCTGTTTATTGACTCTTTATTAAGTACCTACATAGGTATATTAAAAATAAACATTAATATATAATTTAGAAAGCTATTTCCAAAGCTTTCCACATTTTATATAATTTAAAAAACCCACGAAATATCTTGGATTTGAAATTTGTTATAGTGCATAGTGTTCTACTAGTCCTTTCTAGCCCTTTTATTTGATAACCATATTGAGGGAGTTGTGAAAAAGAATATAAGCCGCCATTTTGTGGGGTGGCCATCTTGGACCGATTTTCATCAAACATAGCTAAGAACACTCCCGACTAATTCACCTTTCAAACAAAAAACAAAGTCAAAATCGGTTTATCCGTTCGGAAGCTACGATACCTAAGACACACATACACACATAGATACACACAGACACATCTAACTTATAACACCCCGTCGTTTTTTGCGTCGAGGGTTAAAAATCAAATCAAATCTTTTGTCATAAAAATTGATACCATTATTTTGAATATTCATATTTTTAATTATAGTAAGTTTGCCTTAATAGTAGGCCTTAAAAACATGTCACTATAACTATATTGTATCGTCGAAGGGAAGAAAAGTAATGTAGTTCAAGGATACGCCACTCCCATCAATTAATTACACGTTTTACGTCAAAAGATAGCAATCTATTCGAACAAATTGAACTACGCAGAATAACTTCAATTTTAGCTTTCCGCAGGCTTTCAGTCTTATGATGTAAAAGTGCGTTATAGATAAGAGAATGTAAGTTTTATTAAGCCCCAGTTATATGTAACTTTTAGGGAATAATAACGATTTATATTTTTAATCCACTTTCATTCATCTAATTTCTAACTAATTGAAAGAATTTGTGTGACACATCTCGTAGCTACATCAGTTAAGTCTTTATTTTTTAAATTTAAAAGTTTATCCAAAATAATATTATAACCGTAATATTTTTATCTGTAAATGCACCATAGCAACTGATTTGGGGTTATTTCTTCTATCGATCAGGTATTAAATACTATAAATTATAAATATTACAAAATATCTCTTACTTTAAGATCACCTGAAATGTTAGCTCCTGCCTGAATTCCAGTAACAGATGGAAAGAATATCGCAAACACACTGAAGAAGTCCTCGTTTAGTCCTTCGCTAAAACGGTAATCTGGTTTGAAGTTTGAAGAAAATGTTGTAGCTGAAATAAAAAACAGTATTTTTATTACGAAATTATTACAGAAACATGCATTGACGTGGGCTCTTCGAGAAAGTTAAGGAGAAAATCATTAATATATTACAAATCACGTCGCTTAATGAGTTATTTATAGGTATTATTTCTCTTCTGCCTTAGTTTTGTTTTGATGATGACATGAGTTTCATTCAAATAATTAAAAGTCCAGCTTTCGTCTACGGCGATGCTTGCGAAAAACCTATTTTACCATAAGAACAGTAATTGTTTATAGACAATGTTCTTTGCTTTATCCCAGGCAACGTGATAAAAAATTTGATGATGATCGGTTGACAACTACTCGACCTATCACCCTTTCACCCGCTCACTGATTACAAGTGATTTTTTTATTGTTTTGACATACTTACTACTTAAACCAACGAAGCCCTCTGCTATTTCTTGATGACTACGTGGCCCCATGACTGTACCAACCACAAAGTCGACCATAGCACCGACGATTATTGCGATCAAGAAATTCTGAAAACCCAGTCCTAAATTAATGACCCAAGTTGGAAAACCAGATATTAAGTAGCTTAGAAAGTCTTGTTATTAAACTCCAGTTCTCATTTTCACAGAATTTGTGTAAATATTTTTACATATTTATAGGAACACCGACTTCATCATAATGAGCTGTGATAAACTGTATTCTTCATTGTTTAATTTTTAACCCGTGGGGTGTTATTATTTCATCAAATTTTAATGGAACCAAGTAAGAAGGAAGTATGTTCTCTGAGATAAAAACCATAGACCAAATAACAAACATGAAAAAAATACAATCGAATTGAGAATCTTCTTAGTTTTTTAAGTCGGTTAAAACATTAAAAATGTTGGTTTACTTCTTAACTCATCATCGAAAAGGAACTTCCTGCTCTCCCACTTTCATTTTACAGATTATCGCAACCATAAAGTTGAGTTATGAAAGAAGGAAATTAATTAATTGAAAATGCTATGGTTTTAACAAGGTATTGCATAAAACTGACTTTTGCAACAACTGTGTGTCCCTACCTACTGTACTACCTACAGTATAATATATAAAACTTCGACTTCGCACGGGAGCAATGTAAATACTACTAATTTGGTGTCATTGTGGAGTAATTAATCCTACCATTATTATGATGGGACTTTACTACAAGACATCTTTAAACGCAATATTTATAGGCCCGTTACGATCCTGCCGGCTGCTGCCAACCGGGACGGACGTACGGCTCGACGGTCATTGGACCCCGCATTTTAAAACCTCTACCTAATATCTTTTTTTTTGTAAATCTTTTTAGGATAAACAATTCCCTAGTACATTATTTTGCAATGTAAGCGCACAAAAACAAGTTTTTTGTGACAAATCTTTGTAATTCTCGGATTTTATCTACCATAATATGCATGTATCATACATATAAACCTTCCTCTTGAATTAGTTTCTCTATTAGTGAAAACTGCATTAAAATCCGATGCTTAGTTTAGAAGATCTAAGAGCACAACACGAAAAAGCGACTTTATATTATATAAAAATTTCACTTGCAAACTCTGCCTCAATTTATAGGTTATTAACACTTCACGTTATTTTAATTTAATTTAATGTGCAATATGGATAAACGGCATATTTTAAGCTGAAAGTATTTTATAAGCCCTTATTTAGGTACGCTGTAGTACGTAGTACACAAATTAATTAATTATTGCGAAGTCACTTCTAAATGTTGCGTATTGTAACTATGTAGTTGATCCTACTGATAAGCACACTTATAATATACGACGATTATTGCACTTAGTCAGGTATATGAATAATCATTTTTTTTCAGGTGGCTGCATTGAACATGAAACTAAACCTACCACAAACCTTGATAGTACTAAATAGATAATACTAAATAGATAACACTAAATGTTATTTTAATGTTGTTTGAAAAGCGGAATCTTTTTGACCTTGAGGGAATCGAGCCTACGTGCTTTGGGTAACCAGCCAGCATCAGGAACCAATGAACTAACAGGCCCGAGGGTTATTACTATTCCGTTATTATTTTACAATCTTTAAAACACGTTCTTAATATGGCACCATAAGTGTAAACTACATATAAAATCAGAATGAGGATATTTACTGCATCTAAGTAAACAGCTGCGTTCATCTGCCTGCCAAAAATTCTGTAAATATTCTATATTCCAATATTACGAATTATAAACAAGCTATGTTTATCGCATTTCAAATAAAATATTCCTGTGATCATCTCACTGTATTACGGAAATAGTTATAATTTTATATTAAGTAGTTTTCATAGAATATTCTAGCACCAATACACATTGTAGTACTTTTTCCGTCTTACTACTAACACCCGTAGTCAGAAATATGGACGCACAATAAGCCCGGACGCAATTTCTTTCATAAACACTACTACTAAGCGTACAATTAAGGAACCCTCAGGTGTAACGTTAGCTAAAAAAAAACCATTCTTTGACATATATGGTTCGACTCGACCAGAACGATTCCTACCCTACCCTTATAATAGGAAAAAAGTTAGAGTTAGTTATCACATATTATGTTTTACTAATAACTATTATCTAGGCTGGGCATATAATTTACAACTACTTTTATTATTTACTGCATATTGTATTAATATTTTATGATTCTTTTCATTTTATCACACCAAAATTATCCATGAATTCATCTATTTACAGTCGATTGGCCTATCCGCCGCTACCATGAGCTACATACACTACACACTACAGTATTATAGTAAAACAAAATTTTATTATTCTTAAAGTTAATTTTTTTAAAGTGTATCTTTTTTGAGATCACATTTTGAAAACACAACACTTGTGACGTCTAGTGAGTTTTCCTACGAGTCACATAAGTTGAGAAAATGAAGGATGATCAATCGCGATTTTTTGAGATAAAAGTTTGTTTTCTCGTAAAGTTTCTAACGAATTTGACTTCAGCAACTCTCATTTTCTTCGTTTTTACTTACACTACAACCTCCAATTTTTATTCATAAAAATTGTTTTGCCCTGTTCTTTTTTCAATAAACCGGTTTCTCGCACCTGTTTGATTTTTTTTTCAATAACCGAACCGATTAGTAGTTCGACGACGACTGAAAGTATTTTTTTTAACTAGTACTTTTTTTACCTTAAAAGTAAAGTAAATTATCACGTTCAAAACCAGCCAGTTTATTTTTTAAATATGAAGTAATTTTACGCCGCACAGCCTGTACTATTATGAATTTCATAACTAAACTTTACTGCACGGATGGCGTAGTGGTTTAAGCGGTCGCCACGCGGCTTACTTCTAGTGTTGTGAGTCCGATACCCACATGGGACGACACTTTGTCTGATCCACAAATTGTTGTTGTGAATCTGGGTGTTCTTTGTGTCCGTTTCATGTATGTTTGTAAAGTCCCCCGCGACACAGGATATTTTCCTAATGCGGGAGTTGTCTTTTCAAAGAGAGAGAGAGAAAGAGAAACTAATTTAGAGAAAGAAGCTAAACGGACATGACCTAGACCTATTTCTTAGCGTTCCATGGATTCACAGTGCGGGTGCCGGGTCCATCGCGTGATAGGTGGGGGCAACACATGCGACTTCGACAACGCCTGGGAGTTGCGAAGAGGGATAGGTTTAGGGAGTACTCCTTGCCGCTTTGGATATTCGTTCTAGAAGAGAGCTTACTGAAGCTCTTGGCAATCCAAGGTCTTTAAGTAGGTTATAGAAGGATTTAGCTGGTTTACAACTGGCACCCACTTCCGCGGCATACAACACAACGCAAGAAAGTTCTAGTCTCGAAAATTTTGTTGGTCCACTGCTGGTTCTCGGTATTTCAATTCTAGTCTATACCAAAGTCTGCGCTACTATTCTATATAGTACGAAATAGGCGATTCATTGCGGACTAAGTGTTGAAAGTCAGTCGTTTTAATAAATAACATACCTGACACTATGTTAATTATTGAAAATATTATTACAAGGAACTATAGCTTAAGAGCAGTAGCTTTTTATAATCTATCTTAAAACATGACCTAATTCTATCCTAGTAAAGATAAAACTTTGTCGACCTAAATAATTAGAGTCTAAATAAAATAATATTATTTTCTGACTGTCGTTCCTCTTTAGAAACTGACACAAATGAACGATGTAGGTACACCAATGTACGATTACTCTTTCAATAAACAAACATTCCATCTACATTACAGAGGTTACAATTTCTTTTTTACATTTTAATTTTAATAAAATTAATAATAAGAATGAATTAAGTTAGAATATTTACAACATTTACACTATTTACATACAAGTATCAAAAAATTTGTCCGCATCATCGCCCACTGGTAGCGATCCCAGAAGACTGGTTTAGCTAGCTGTTTATACATGGTACGAGCACTTGGACCACATGACCCTAGCGTTTCGACCCCAAACGGTTTAAAAATTTAATTTCCTACTAATTTCTGATATTTACGCCATTTTAGGGTTTCTGCAGATGCAGCAGCAGCGCCAGCGTAACCAGATGTACTTGGCAAATGTGATGGCGCAAGGGTGTCGACGTAGGTTGCGTCCCACACCAAAGGCTTATCCATCTTCCATGGCAGCAACGACATACCGTCCGATCTCTTCCCATCGTCTCGCACCAGACCATTGGGTTCATGTACAGCTGGAACGCTCGTAACAAGAGTCCGACGGATAATGTCGTTAATATTGGCACGTCGAGATATACGGCCAGCGCTTCTGCTACAAGAAAGGCTATGATGTCGCTTAAAAGTGTTAAAATTACCGACATTAAAACATCACAGGATAAGAGGTGATCTTATTGAAACCTATAAAATTCTAAGCTCAACATATAATCTTCCGAATATCAAGGATATGTTCCTCCTCCAGCGGAAGCCGTACTCATCACGGGGACACAGCTTCGCAATAGATCGCTCACACTCACAGTCGCTGGTAGCCTATCACACTTTGAACAATCGTGTTGTTGCGATATGGAACAAGCTTCCGGAAAATGTTGTGATCGTAAAGTGAGTGAACAGTTTTAGGTGCCAACTAGATATATGGTTAGAAAAGCACAACCCATTGGACTAGACAACCGTTTAATCATGTACACGGGAACTCTTACATCAGAAACTTACTCCAGTGCAGTGATGTGGACACATCAGCAAGTTTGCTGCTCGTCCATAATACCCTAATAATAATAATAATTTCCTATCTATTCAATAGATGGCGCTGAATGACTGACAAGTGTCAATTCAAAATAAAAAGTGTCGTTACAACTTTTCGTGAGAATTTTTTCCGTCTAGCCCCCTTTCACAACGCGCGATAAGGAACTTCGTTCCAACAAGTTCGTCTGGGTGCCAAGACCACCCAGACGAACTGGTAAGGATGCTTGGAGCCAGGCTCGATCGTTAAAAGCTACATTCAACACTTTACTGAGGGTGTTTTGAATAATTTTGTAAACTTTTTCTAAAAGTGATGGGTGTTTCCAAAGCGGGGATGACCGAAGTGCATGTATAAATTTA